TGGGTTGCCTAGTAAGGGAAACAGGGGCTGTCTCTGACATGGACTCAGTGGCTGGCTCTTTGATCCCCTCCCCCTGCAGGCAGCAGCCTTACCAGGCCACACAGAAAGACAATACAGCCAATCCTGATGAGACCTGATAGGCTAGGGTCAGATAGAAGGGGAGGAGGTCCTCCCCTATCAGTGGACTAGGGGAAGGGCATGGGGGAGAAAAGGGAGGGGTGGGATTGGGAGGAGATGAGGGAGGGGACCACAGTCCCTTATACAAAGTAAATAAACTGTAATAGGTAGTTGTCACTTCTCAGGGGGCTTCCGTCAAACTCTTCAGACTGACCCTGGCCCTCTGGTGGTCAAAAGCACGAGAAGTCAGAAAGAAGAGCTGAACATTGGAATTAAGAACAAGGTAGACCCTGCAAACCTCTTTGTAGATGTCTTTTATGGTCTAGACATGGTGGTTGTCAGAGATTAGAAGCTATCTGTCACTTTGAACCTTCCAAAGCTTCACCAAATCCCCAGTTTTGACTTTTATTTTTTTTTCAGGGTCTCTCTATGTAGCTGTCATGGAAATTGCTATGTAGGCCCTGAACTAACAGAGACCCAGCTGCCTCTGCCTTCTGAGTGCTTGAATTAAAGGCATATGCTACCACACCTAGCTTTATTTTGGCCAATCTATCTCACAAACACAAGATCAAAGATAAAAGTCTTGGGGGATGTAGGTTCATTTTTGGCCAGTCCATATGGATTCTAGAGAAGAGAATTCTGGTCGAGTCATTTCTTGTAATTTACCCAGAGTTTACTTGAAGTAGGGGTTTACAGTTTTCTTTTCTATACTCAGGAGGCCTAGAGCCTTTGCTCTGGAACCCTGGGAAGTTTCATGTCGCCTGCTTCATGTTTTCACACCCTATTTAACCATCTGCTCATGCCCATGAGGTGATCATGATACAGGCAGGAAGCCCTCTTTTATTCAGGATCACAACCTTGATTCGGTCAGCATGATTGCATCTCACCTAAATACTGAATATTTTTAAAATTAGGCCTTCCACGACACTCCCAGCTTATAGTGATATAAAGTTTCATTGATTTGTGGGTTTTGGGGAAAGGATGTGGTGCTGGAGAAGTTTGCTAGGTTTTATTGGGAGGGGCACTGATAGAAGAGACTCCACCATGGTCAGAACACTGGTGGCCACTCATCTCCTCAAGGTTACGTTAGTTCATTGTGATCCAGGAATGCAGGACAGATAACAGGAGAGAGAAATTGAAAAAGAAACTCAGCTCCTAGCAACAGTCCCTCATTTATTCAATTAGGTGTCCTGCCAATTAATATGCAAAGTATTTAATAAGATATTTAAAGCCCTTCAAAGCTTACTTTACACTTGAGCCCCTGAAGCCCACCAGGGAAATCTTTCACCATGCATGAGAAAGTCTCAGGGAGATGATGACACACTGCTTGCTTTGGGATTGAGATGTCAGCGTTGTGATCGGTGACCATCTGAGAAAGAACAGGAAAGCTCTTGTGTCCCCAAAGGCTTTTCTTTATGTACTTGGGACAAAAATTAATACTTTTTTGGATACATTTCCATAATTCATGTTTCTGCTACAATGTCTAGAGCAGGACAGAAATCTGATTTTCTATGGTAGTCTATATATCACCATTCCTGATATTGCGAATCAGAGTAATGCTAGCTACTAGAAAAAATCTGCACATATTTGTACGAAGAGTTCTGTAATTTTGGTTTCTTTAAAAAGAAAACACAAAACTACTGTAAGAGTGTGCTTTTGTTTTAATTCCAAGTGTGGGGAAATGGGGCTGCTTAGGACTGTCCATAGCAGCTGACTATGATTTGCCTTATGCTCTGGCTGCAGATAGTTTCTGCAATAGCCAAATTAAAGTTTAGTCGGTGGTGGGAAGATCTCAGTTTCATGAAGTCAGTCTAGGATTTAACCCTCTCCTATCTCATCAATTGCACTGTTAGTGTCAGCATGCTCAGTAATGTTGCGAGGTTGTCAAGGAGTGGGAAGGAGAGCGAAGTTCAGACTTACTTGGTTTTAGTTGCCTTGATCTTGAATGAAAACTACTTTGGCTGAAATTCCATCGAACTAGTCACATGGTGTTACATAGATACAAGGATAATGGGCAGAATAGTTTAGTTTTGTGTCCAGGAAGGGGACTTGACATTTGGCAAGCAATTGCAATGATGTTGAATTGTCCAGGATACACCTGTTATCCTGAAAGCATTTAAAAATGTTCACTGAACAAGTAAACAATTGGGTGAATCTGTAGACTTCAGCTCTTGTATTTACTCTCATAGAAGTAAGTGGGAGTAAATAGATTTTGGTGAAGCAGATGTTTGTCTATCATACCTGTTATAGTCATATGATAATTTGTATTTGTGAAGTTGTGCATTCTATGTGACAGGTGCTATGGTATGCTGCACAGAAGGTGGAGTTGTAATTCATAATTTCTGCCAACTGGTAGTTCACTTTGAATGAGTTTAGTGGGAAGAGAGAAAAGAAGTCAGTGATCACTAATATTTTGTGGGTGCCTCGACAGGGGAATGATTGAACTGTTGTGGGACTGTTGAAAAAGGACACGATTCAGTCATAGATGGGCATTCCAGGGTCACATTGACCAGGCTAGTGATACATGAGAGTACTGATCACGAGTCTATTAGGTGATTTCCATAAGAGAGAGGTAAACGGAAGGGAACATGCAAATTTGACAATTTAGGGACCTCTAGGAGGTCAAATGTATGGCAGTAGATGGTAAGAGATGAGGGTGCAAGGATGGGCCTGGATTGAATAATAAGACATTCATCAACTGCGTTAGATGAAAAAAGAATGCATAGAGATTGGGAAGGGGGATGATGTGATTTGCCTCTACTGAATAAAATAATTGATACATAATAAAATCCAAACAAAAGCTGTGCCATCTCTATCTGTCTAAATCTGTTTCCCTCCCCCCTGGAAGGCCTCCTTCAAGTAATAAAAGATCAGTAATAGTAAAGAGTAAACAAAATGCCCGCCCGGAGTTATAATAGCCAACCCTTTTATGGGAAGAGTTTAAACACAGGAGACCACACGGAAGTTTGAGAACCTCCATCTCCATACAATCTTACCTTTGTGAGTGGAAAAGGATGAAACGAAACAAGGGAAGTTATTCATGATTTTGCAAGAATTCTACATAGCCACAGAATAGATGCTTCTAAGAATGTGTTCTCAGGTGGACTATGGGAGAAAACATAAACCATTTCAGGGGCAATTTTTGCATCATTGAAGATGTTAAATTTATTCAGTTGGGGCATCAAGTCTTCAGCCCAGTTCAGTTGCTACCTGTTGAGCATTCATGCATGATCACGCTCAGTCTGTGTGAGTGACAAGTCTGCATCTTGAATTAAATCAAGTGTTTCGGGGAGTGTAAAAAAACCAGATAAACCTTTACTCTTGCCCTTAAAAATTTGCAACTGTCACATGGATCTAAAAGTTTCTATCCAAGGATGTAACTCTTTTTAAGGATTAAAATACATACACAAAACACAACCAGTAACTGGTTGACCTGTAATTTTCACTGTAAAATGAAAATACTTTCAGCTACATCACAGTGACCAATAAGATGGCTATATAAGATGACCCTTGAAAGCTTTGTGTAAACAGTGCAGGACTGCACACTGATGGTACATTTTTGAAGGTGAATGCTCTCGTACTCTCTCTAGAGTGTTCATCAAAGTGTGTGGGGTAAGGCATTGAGGCCAAGGATGGCAATAGACGTTTCTCAAGAAGAGAGTTCCGTGAATGAATTTGGAAATGTAAGATTAGCAAAATAAAACATGTTTCTGAGGTTAGTAAGGTGCTAATACTGTGACTCTCAAGAGAAGCAACTATATTGTCTCTTTTCTTCAACTATACTGTTCTTGGAACAACCAGCCTCTCCACGACTCACTTTGAAAGGGACAAATATAATCTTTACATTTTGGTAATCTGTAAATTTGTGTGATAATTGTCCCAGCATTCCAGTCAACTCTTTGTCAAAGTTAAGGAGATTCCTCCATAAAATCGGGAGATACATGGTGTCGTAGCTGACAATTAGTTAATCTTTGCCTCCAGGGAATATTAGCAGGGCAGAAGATACAGGGCAACGACGGGGCCTTGAACTGAAACTGAAATATTTTATAGAGTAAGACTTAAAAGTCTATTTTATTATTTTACATGTTTGGGAGTCACCTGCATGTGTGTCTGTCCACAGAGGCCAGAAGAGGGAGCTGGATCCTGGAACTGGAGTTACAGATGGTTGTGAGCCGCAACCTGGGTGCTGGGAATCAAAGCCTGGTCCTCTGTAAGAGAGCCACTGAGACATCTTTTCAGCTTATAATTAAACTCTTTAAAATATTAAAGGTCATAAAACCACAACTTCGCCGCTTTGAGCAAAAGGGTACAGAAATACCTCTAATAAGAACTGATATTTTGGGAGGGGAGGCCTGATTCAGAGCTCATCAGGCCAATAGCTTTCCCTCTTTACTTTTCCTTTTTTTTTTTTTTTTTTCTCCCTCAGCACACTTCAGGCTCTGCCTGGCTGAGTTAGATCTTTCAGGAGTAAGCAGTCAAAGGCATTAGGCTTGGCGCTGGGAAGCCAAGACAAACAGGAGCTCCACCACTGTTTAAGGTGCGGGTGCTGAACTTCCCACCCTGAGGGGCGGGACAGACGTGAGGAGGGGCGGGGCGATGCTGAGAGGAGGAAATGCTGAGGCGATAGGAGCGGGTGCATGAGGTGGGTGTGGTTCTCCGGAGGGGCGGGGCTAGATTGGGAGGCGGGGAAGCTGGGGGCGGGGGCGGGGCTGTCTAAGAGAGAGGGTAGGTCTCAAGGGGCACCTGAGGGAGTGGAGCGGCCCTGGGCTGAGGGGGGCGTGAGGGGCGTGGCGTGAGGGGCGTGGCGTGAGGGGCGTGGCGTGAGGGGCGTGGCGGAGGTGAGCCCCGGCGAGGTCGGAGCACCCGGTCAGTTACAGGTGGCGGGCTCCTCCGCGCTGGGTGCGGCGAGGGCGCCGGCGCCGGGAGAGCCGTGGCTGAAGGCGCGAGGGGGCGCGCGACACGTCGGCGGGGAGCTGTCGGGGGCTCAGGTGCGCTTCCGTCCGGGCGGGGTTGTGGGGGTGCGGCGGGGCGCGTCCCTGCGGAGCGCCCGGCTGAGCCCCGTCGCTGCAGCCGTCGGGGGTCGCGGGGCCCGGGGTGCGCCGCCCGCCGATCCCGAGCCTCCTCTGGACGTCTGCGGGGCGCGGGGGACCCCGCGAGGCCCGAGCCACGCCTGCCCCCCGGTCCGCGAGCCCCCAGGGCGTTCGGCTCTCCTGAGCCCGGGACTCCGAGGGGAGGCCAGAGGCTGTGAGGATGTCATTTTCCGGGTTGTCTCTTCCCTTCACACCGCGGGAGGATTTCCACCTCCTTTTTCTCCACCGTGATTTTCCTTCATCACAGGTAGGCAGAAGAGTTAAGCTGTGCGACAGATGCCAAGCCAGATTTCTTTAGACTCTTTTAAAGGAAGCGCGTCAAGTTTTTGCTTTTGTAATTAAAAATACTTTGATCCTCACGGAAGGTAGGCCGTCAGTTGAGTTTTTCCTTTTTTACTGTAACAGAATTTACAACAGCCCTCCCCCCTTCCTCCTACCTGTTTAATATTCAACTTGGTTAAAACCATTTCTAGAAGGAAATGTTGATACTGTTTGGCTCTGAGATTCGAGGAGATTTGGGTTTTTTTTTTATCGTCTCCTTCGTAATTTTTTTTTTTTTTCGTGAGTTTAGGGGTTGCAAATGAACATTTCTGTCCCAATAATTAGATGAGAAACAGTTTTCTTATTCACAAAAAATCTAAATAGGTCTTGAATTTTTACTTCATTTGAATTATAACTATTCATGAATAGAACTTATTGATGAAAATATTAACTCAGGATGAGAGAAAAACGGATTGAATATCCTTTTAGGGCATCTGGCAGAGTTGTCTAGTCGGCAGCAAGATTTATTGGTATTAGGTTTTTCCAAAGCCAGACTCAAAAATCATATAAGGGTATAGAAGATCATTCAAGTAAGTACAGAATCAGAAGAAAGGAAGACCATGGGCATTATGAATACTTCAGTGATGGGTACGGACAACCAAGGAGACTGAGGAGCTTTGAGAAAAAAAAATGAGAAATTCTAGGAGATAGTGAAATTTAAGGACTCCTGAGGAGCGGAGAGTTTTAACGAAGTCTTCAAGTGGCATGAGTCAAATGGATCAGGAAATAAAGTGCCTATTGACTTGGGTAACTAATGGAGAGGCTCTTTGCCTTCAGCAAACATAATCCAAGTAAAACAGTAGGGCAGAAGCCAAATTTGAATGGATTTGAGTTGTAAATAGAGGATAAAGAAGTAAAAATAGTGTAGAACGCATATTTTGAGAAAAATTAGGAATGGTGGCAGCGGTGCTTATTAGAGGGGAGGTTCTTGTGAAATTGGAAAGACTATAAAGACTATAGAATAGTGTTCTGTTAAAATTCATTGTCACCTCTCAAATGGTGAAGCTGAGAACAATTAGCTGTGTCAGACTGTATTTCACTTGAAGTCCAGTACTTTGTTACTCCAAACTTGCTTTTAAGTCATTTGACTTCTTCAGGTATGTTCTAACGATTCTCCTGGATATCTTATGTGGAAATTGGCTGTTTTTATTAAATTACAATCCTGCATACATTAGTTAAAGCCTTGGGTTTAATATGCATTTAAATAAAATGCTCTTGGATTAAAATTTCTGTATAATGGGCTCACTTTGATCTCCATTGGAAGTTTTGTGGTTGCTTTGTTTTAAACTTCAGACTAGTACTTTAATGAATATATTATTTAGGAGTATGGAAAGGCTGGTTCAAAGGGAAAGTCTGACTATCTAGTATTGAACAGGAAACTCTGACACCTGTGGTGGTGGGAGCTTAATTTGGTATAATCATTTTGAAACCCTCTGGCAGTAGATAATAAGGTGAAACATGCATAAACTGTATGCAGTTAGCCAACAGAATTCTAGAAAATGTAAACTAACAGGACAAAAAACACATTAAATTGTTACAGTGAAAGAAAGTAAGTCTGATGGATTAAAAGGGAGCATTGTGTAACTTTTGGGAATGTTGGATGTATTAATTTACTGGATTGTGGTAATACCCCCAAATATTCATATATCACTTATTTAACTGTAAATTTTAAAAAGGTGCTGTTTATTTTGGGACAGTTTCGTACATAGATAAAGTAAGAAAGTAAATAAAAAGAGGAAAAAAATGACATTTGGGTATGATTATTTTCTTTAAATACTATAGTTATATCAAGGTGATAAGACTGTGAATACTTTTAATTCCCTTCATATTTTATACTATTGTTAATAACAGAAATTATTTGATACATGCAAAATGACATTAAAAACATCTATAAACACATCTTTAAATGTATTCTATGCATTTAAAGAATACAAATACTCATATACTTAAAAAATGAGACATATTTAAAGATGTCCTTTGCATTTTATTTTTTACTTTTCTTGATTTTCTTTATAATTTTATTACATGACCACATGTTTCTAAAATTTTTATTGTTTAGTTTTGTCTGTTTTGAAGTGCAATATAAAGTAAATTATACTGTATGATTTCTGTGACTTATTTTTTACACAGAGTGTTATTGTGTTGCTCAGATTGGCCTCTAACTTGCCATTCTCCTGTCTCAGCCTCCCAAGTGAAGGGATTATAGGTGCTCATGACCACATCCTGCTCTATGACTTCAACACTTTAAATTTATGATATTCTTCCATATTCATATGGTATAGATCAGTTGCTTTTTATTGCTGTATATCATCCTATTATATGACTTTTCCACTGTTTACCCATAATCCTGTTGATAGATGTTTAGGGCACATTGTCATTCTTATTTATTTATTTCTTGCCATTAAAAGCTGTTTTGTGATAGCCCTATAGTCTATGATTCTTTATATCCATGTATATGAATTTTCCTGCTTTTAAAATCTTAGAGTAGAACTGTGGGTCTTTATTTTTGCTGGGTAATACTGAGTTATTTTATATGGTGCTTGTATCAGTTACACTATCACAAGTAAGTGTTCTTGTTATTCTTATTACCATGTAAGAAATTTGTACATTTGTAATTGTCTGAAAATTTCCTTTTAATGATCTAGTGAGAAAAAAAAAAAAGAATCCCTTTGGGAGGTTTACTTTACATTTCTTTAATTATTGATAATGTTGAGCCTCATGTAGTTCTTATGTAGTGTCTGTTTATATTCTTTCTTTATCTTCTTCTAGAAGTTCTTTAGTTTTGAAATGAATCCTTTATCTGTTATGCATGCATTTTTATTTCAGTAAACAGCTTGTCTTTTTAGTTTGTAGTGGCTTTTGAAGAACATACCTTATATTTTAATATAGCTGGCTATGTCTTTTTCTTTTTTTGGTTTCTACTTTTGGTATATTGTTTAATGTTTAATCTTTCCCTTCATCTTATAAAAATATAGTCGTTTGTTTTCTGCTGGAACCTGTAAAATGTTGCCTTTCCAAGGTTTGTCTCTCAATTTTTCAGTAACATCTAAAACTACAAGAAAATAGTCTATTAAAACCTGATATTAGGCCCAAGGAGATGGTTTGGGGAGTGAAATGCTTGCTTTGCAAATCTTATGATCTGAGTTTTGATCCTTGGAACACAAGGTGCACAAGTAGAAAGCTGATGTGTTTATATTCCCAGGACTTCTGTGGTGAGATAAAAGGCAAAGACATGAAAATCTGCCCGTAACTCATGGGCCAGCTAGTCTGGAGTAGAGTATGGTGCCTGAAATAAGAGAGCTACTTCCTCAAAACAAGATGGAAGGAGAGAACCAACTCTCCAGAAGTTGTTCTTTGACTTCTGGAAGTGCAGAATGCCATTTGTGTGCCCTCATTCACGCACACACTATAAATAAGCTAATTTTGAAAAATGCTACCATACTTAGGAGCCCAAAGCAGGAAGCCAGCAAGGCTACATAGCTACTTAAAGATCAGCCTAAACTACCGAGTAGCAAGACCTTGCCTCAAAAAACCAGAGCTAGGGTTATTGCTTAGTGGTAGAGTGCTTGCTAAGCAAGTGCAAAACCATGGGTTTCATCCTCAGTACCACAAAAAGGGAAAAACCCTCTTATATTTATAGCCTTAACCTATGTGTAATCGTTTTCTTGTGTGTATGTGAAGTGGGGGGTACAGCTTTGTTTCTTTTTTTCACATATGGGTATTGATTGAATACTGTAATTTTCATCTTAGTGATCCCTGGCATGAGTCATGTCTTTGTGAATGTGTTTTTAAAGTTATTGTTTCTTTGAACTGTTTATATCTGCTTACTTTATAATCTTGCTTTAGTTGTAGAAAGAACCTTGACAGTAGTCCATTTTTCTGGTAAAATTGTACTTCTTGAGTTATTTTATTTTTCCATTTCTCTTTCAGAAGTAAACTTCTTACTTTTTATAATGTACTGCTTTATTTTTGAACAAGTACTGTAATCACCTTAGGTGACAAACAAAAACCCTGAAGGTGCTCTAATGTAAACCACATCGGTTGTAAATCTTGTCATATATCATCAGAGCTAATTTTAAGTCAAAAAGTAAACATGGGACTTTATTTTGGAAACATAGTAAGTTGCAATTTGGAGCAAATTTTATACAGAAAGAAACTAAGGATGCTGTATCCTAAGAATAGAAATTAACATGTCAAAAACTAAAAGGATGCTGGATAACCGAGACAAAGGAGCTCTTAAATTCTCTTTGCTTGAAGGGTAGTTTGTTAAGTAGGGGAACTTGATGGCCATGAAATACTTGGGGTATTTGTAGTGCTGAGAACACTTGGAATTCATCCAGAGCACCTTGAAGATAAGCTGAGAGCTTCTGCCCGTACTTCTAAGATCCCAAAGGCTGATTTGTTGAGAAAGGAGTGAAAAATTACTCTTTCTTTCCAGAAACAAAATGAAACACAGCAAAGAAAGTTGCCATAAGGCTAACTAAAATAGAAAAAAAAGAAAAGCCTGTCTTTGACAAGTTATGACCACATAAACAGACGGAGGCTGGGTGGGGTGTAAGAGTGTGGGGCAGCGGTTATCTTTGGTAAACTTAAAAAAAGAGATATCTTTTAAATTAAATTCACCCTGTTAAAGTATATCATTCAGGAACAATCTTGTGGTTCCCCTAAAATAATGGTTGGCAACCCGAGTCCCTTTGCTACAGTTCCACATGTTGTGGTGACCCCCAACCAAGAATTATTTTGTTGCTACTTGATAACTGAAAATTTGCTACTTTTATGAGTCAAAATGTAAATATCTGATATACAGGATATGATATGTGATCCCCAAAGTGACTCACAGGTTGAGAACCTCTTCCCTAAAAGGAAACTTGTAGCCATTTATATAATAGTAACTTACTATTTTCTCTCCTGCAGCTTTCTGACAACCACTTGTTCTATCTTGTGTCTCTGTATTTGCCTATGAATAGAATCAATCTTATAGTGTGATCTTCATGTCTTACTTCTTTTAGTATGTTATTTACAGGGTTTATCCACGATATGGCATGATATGATATGAACTTGTACTTCATTTTTTTGTTGTTGCTGAATAAGACCCACTGCATAGGTAAATATATGACTATAGATATAAGATAAAAGAAAAATTTTATCTTTTCACTGGTGGATGGTTGATTGTTTCTATTTCTTTACTCTTCTGAGTAAGGTCCCTGTGAACCTTTCTGGTCAAGTTTTTTGCATGAAGGTATGGTTTTCATTTTCATAGGTATAGTAAACCAGGAATGGAATTTATGGGTCATCTGGTAACTTTTAGTGAAGTTTTTGAGGAATACCATGGTATTTTTTTTAAACAAAGCATCTACACCATCTTACATTCTTAGCAGCAATGTGTGATGGGTCTAGTTTTTTTTCATATATTTTATATGTATTTTCAATTACTGTTTGTAAAGTGATATCTTATTGTAATTTTATTTGTATTTTCCTTGTAGTCATTGAAGTTGATTCTTTTTTCATATTTACATTTCATATTTTCATATTACATACTTGTTACCTTGGGGAAATACCAAATTCTTTGTCTGTTTGGATTTGGTTAGTTGTCAAAACATGAATATGAAATAATCAAGTAAGTAATTATAAATTGCTTGACATTTTTAAAGATGTCAAATATTATAAAATAGGAGTTTACTATGTTTTCAATGAAGTTGTCATCAGATTTTTTTTTCTCTTAGAGCTAGACCATACTGCAAAGGTAATTGGTAAGATCAGACAAGCATGAATAGCTAAGTAAAAGCTGAAAGTGAAGAGCAGTAATATAGCTAGTCCTGCTATGCATTGTAATCCTGCAAAACTAAAATCACATGGTATTGATACAGGAATACATTGGCCGATGGAAGAGAATAGAAAATATAGAAGCATACCTAATTTACACATGGAAATTTAGTATTTTAAAGGGAACATTGTGATGGCAGTAGAAAAAGTAAATTTGTATTTCTATTTATTATTTCGCAATTGTGTGCATGTATGTGTGAGTTCCAGGTATGAAGGTAAAAATATGGAATGCTTCACCATTGTTTCTACATAAGGGCCATCCTGATGATCTCCATATCACTCTAGTGTAGGCATGTGTTTTTATATATTTTATTTGGGTTTCTTTGCTTCTACCTCCCTTCCAACCCTTATTCCTTCCAACACTCCAACACAGGTAGGAGAGAAAGAAAGTTAGTGGAGAGAGGAGTTATAAGTTTCTTTAGTACTTCTTGCTGGTTAGGGTAGTTGGGTTCTTTGGGGCAGGTCCAATCTTCATTTCAGGAGATCTCTAACGTCTCCTCCTGTAACCACAACAGCAGCAACCAGGAGTAGCAGCAGGGCAGCCGCGGCTGCCTTCTTTCTCAGCCTGCCCCTCCCCTCTGTACTCTGCCTTTATAGACTCTCAGGGTCCTCAGCATTAAACCATCCACAGCTGGCAAAGATCATGCCCCGCTCAGCCTGCACAAGGCAAAGAGTTTGCTGCAGCGGACAGTCTAAAGCAGCCCCATATCCCACACCTGGGATTAAAACGAAAACATGTTTATATAACATAACTGAGTTTTAAAAGACACCAAAACTTCTACACTCTGGTTTTAATGTGTGTGCTGCTGAAGTGAGCACATGGAATTTTGAATATGCGGTGCTTGTGGTACTGGAATAATCAAGTTGGAAAAAATAGGTTTGGACACATTTTTCATATCGTACACCAGGATTTCCATATAAAAAATTGACATACTAATTAAAATAATTTGAAGAAAATATGGGCAAATTACTTATGACCCATGGAGATGGAGAAATTTTGCTGTGACTTAGTCTACCTGTAAAAATGAAAATCATAGATATATTTGTAGGTATGTATATGTAAATATGTTTATATATCCAAACTGCTCCAGGATCTAAAATCTCAATGTTACTATAATGCTATAAACATGATAAAACTTTGTTTTCTGTACAAAATTACTTTTGGATATGTAAGATGTATATAAAAAATAAATTTCATACTTAGATCTGGTTTCTTCTCTAGATATCTCATTATATATGTGTAAATCTTGGAAACTTCAAAATCTGAAACACTCTGATATCAAGCATTTTAGACAACAGATAATTTGTATATACGTATATAATATATATACATATATATTCATATTTGGTGTTTTGCACTGAGGGTCAAATGTAGGACTTTGTACACGCTAGGTAAGTTCTCTGCCACTGAACTACATCCTAAGCCTATGCAAGCACTTTTTTATAATGGAGAACATAGTAATCAAATCAGGAAGCAAATGACAGGTTAAAAGAACGTTTTCCATTTATATGATGGACATGAGTCAATCTCTGAAATACATAAACAACTTCTAAAAGATAAATGGCAACTTATAAACACAGATAATGTAAATAGCTACAATTTTGGCTTATTGTAAAATGATACCAAGCATATTTTAAAGATTTATTTTCATTTTATGTGTTGGTGTTTGCCTGCATAATATGTATGTATACTATGTGAGTGTGGTGCCAGCAAAGGCAGAAGAGGGTATTAGAGTTACAGACTGTTGTTATCTGCCATGTGAGTTTTGGGAATTAAATGCTAGTCTTCTGAAAGAGCCAGTGGGTTTTTTTCCCCTCCTTTTCATAATATTTTTTTATCGCTTATTTGGGAATTTCATAACATGAACCCCGATCATACTCACTTCTCAGTTCTCCCAGGTTCACCCCCTCCAAATCCCTCCAAATCCCTCCAAAAAAGAAGAATGAGGAGGAAAAGGAGGAGAAGAAAGAAAAAGAGAAGGAGAAGAAGAAAGTTCAATTTGTGTTGTTCATATTCTCGCTGGAGCATGGTCAAACTCATAGTGGCTAGTGCCTTAAAGAAAACCAAGTCCTTCCCCACCTGCACTCCTGCCAGAAACCATCAGTTATGGAGAGCTACTCTTCATCATCCTTATGACAATTTATTCAGAGTTCTATGACTTTATGTCTAGGCTGTTAGTTTTGTGGGGGTGGTGGAGGGATAGGAGTTGTCATATAGGATTTCTATGTCCCTTTTTTCCCCCCAGCTGTGAATCTGCAGTCATCAATACCATGGCAAAAGTAGCTTCCTTGTGCTCTACTGCCAATGGAGCTTGCTTGGATCATGGACTTCCACATGATCTCTGGCAATAATACATGCCACAGACATTGTCATGGTCCAATGGCAGTGCAGACCATGGACATCAACATGGATCTCTGCTGCAGCACTGTCTATGGACACCATCATAGCCCTTGGCGGCAGCACAGGTCAAAACATCAACATGGCCTCAGGTGCAGCCAGTGTTCTAAACCACTAAGCACCGTCTCTCTGGCCCTTCCCAATATTAAAAAATAACATTTAAAAATTTAAAACATCAAAGGGCAATCATTGCTTTCCCCTCACACCAACAAAAATGCAGCATTTGAACAACATTTTGTTAGCAACAAATGTGATTTTATATACTTTTGTTGTGAATATGAAATGACCGCAATTCAGAAATTTTAGCACTAAAAGAATTACATATGTACTTTTTAACCAGTAGTCCTATATCTTACAGATATATACTGAGAAATAGCTGAGTAATATATGTACATAGAACTAGCGGTACTATTTGTAATAGCAAAAGGTACAAGAATTTAATTTTATCTTGAATTCAACTAAACAGCTCTTATGAAATAGAAACCATAGGTGAAATTAGATACGAAGTATATTACTTTTTGTCATATTGATGTTAAATTTTTGTATGTGATAATGCTATTATTTTTAAAAAGTACCATTTAGAAATGTTACGTTTATAATTTATTTCAGATGTTTTAATACTTCAGCCAGTGAGAACCCCTCAAAAGTTAATTACCAAGGACTTCTGTCACATCTTTTAATCATTACTATTTTAGAAGTATTTTAGATTAAATTATATTTTTGACATTTATCTTAAAGTAAGCCAAAAGTATAGGGCAAGTGAGAGGTAGAGATGAAATAAGATTCACCATAAGTTGAAAATTGTTTAATTTGGGTGATTTTGTTATTGTAGGTTCTCTTGTGTATGTTTAAATTTTCCACATAAATGTATAGAATTTAAGTAAGGTGTAAGTGAAGAGAGTTCTTTGGAACAAGCACATTGATATCAGGGTAGAAAATTGGACAAAAAGTTCTCATGCACTATGTTCCTGATCAATTATTATTAATAAATAATCCATTGCAATATATCTTATTTGTGTGCTTGCTCTCCTTCCTATCTCTGGGTGTGTTTATGTGAATGATACAATATTTAAGATTGTATTGTATATTTTTCCTGTTAGTTTAATTCTAGGATTAAGATAATGTACAAATTTAAATTTATGAAATTTATAGATTTGCTTATCAAGCTCCAATTACAAAGGATTTTGGATATCAAAATGATTGATGTAGAGGAAGTGAAAATTTTCTGTCACACTTTTTATGACAGCCATATTTGCTTTCAAGTTTTGCTTGGACATAAACCTCGATGTATCAGATGTAAGAGAATATTGAAAAGGGAGATTTTCTTTTTCAAATTGTAACATTGAAATTGTTGATTTAATTAAGTCTGCTTTTCTGATAAATCATGAAGACCCTATGTTGTATAAAATCATATAGAAGTGTAAAAATGTATCTTTTAAATACTTTTCTTTAGAGCCCTTGATATAGATCAGAAAGATATAGTGTGATTTGTTTAGTGATAACCAGTAGCATTAACCATGATGATTTTATGCATTCTCTTTTACCAATAGGTTGACATTAAAACTGAAGTTTTCTAATTATTAGAAATTGAATGTAATGGCAGCAGAATTTTTAAAGAGTTGCTGTAGAGGATGTTTCTATGGTGAAACAGAAAACCACAAGTGTAAGTATTATTTTTATTTTGGTAAACACTTAATGCCTTCTTTGTGGCATTTTATAATATATTAATAAATTAAGAATGTTTTCTGACTTTGATGGGAAGGCTAAAAGGGAAGGCATACTAGATTGTCATTTCAGAACTTTCAGGGACCCTGAAGTATAGTGGAGAGATTGAGTAATTCAAATCATGAGACAACCCTGGATATGACTATAAAGAAGGTAGCCTTTGCCATGGGAGCCTGAATAGGATTTAGCAAGCCAGTAGGAAGAAGGAGTATGAAAATCTGAGAGTTGGACATAGACAGGTGAATGAAATAATATAGTTGAGGTAAGAAGTGTGCTTGGGAAACAATAAAGTGACAAACGTTTTGATGCAAATAAAGACAGCTTCCACTTTATGTACAGTACATTAAAATATCTTGTGGATAAATTATCACTGTGCTTGCTCACTGTGGTAGCTCACTGTGGGTGGTATGGTGGTCCTTGGTGCTATAAGAAATAAGGGTCAGCAAACCAGTTAGCAGAACTTCTCAATGGCTTCTGCTTTAGTTCCTACCTCAAGTTCCTGCCCTGAGTTCCCTGCATGGTGGACTATACTTCGTAAACTGAAATAAACCCTTTCCTCCCTAAGTTTATTTTATTTGGTCATGGTGTTTTGTCACAGCAATAGAAACCCTAAGATAATCACTGAAGAACAGGAACTCCACAGGAGAGCAGAGAGCAACAGAACCAAGAAATCTGGGCACAGAGGTCTTTTCTGAGACTGATACTCCAACCAAGGACCATGCATGGAGATAATCTAGAACTCCTTCACAGATGTAGTCCATGGCATCTCAGTCTCCAAGTGGGTTTTCTAGTAAGGGAAACAGGGGCAGTCTCTGACATGAACTCAGTGGCTAGCTCTTTGATCACCTCACCCTGATGAGGGAGCAGCCTTACCAGGCCACAGAGGAGCACAATGCAACCAGTCCTCATGAGACCTGATAGGCTAGGGTCAGATGGAAAGGCAGGAGGACCTCCCCTATCAGTGGACTTGGAAAGGGGTATAGGAGGAGATGAGGGTGGGAGGGTAGAATTGGAAGGGAATGAGGGAAAGGGCTACAGCTGGGATACAAAGTGAATATAATTAATATAAAATAATAATGATAAAAAGAAACATAACTTTTATCAAGACCTACATTTATGAAGAATTCCTAGATTAGTTATTTCCTATTATATTATATAGTTACTTATTTCTTCAGTGTTAAGATTAGAACTTTATTTTTATCTGGCTCTTATTTTAAATTTCTTGTAGGATAGAGCTTCTTACTATATATTTGGATATGAAATTTTATTAGTCCATTTTATGATGCCAGTAACACAGAACCTCTGCTTATTACAGACTGGAGAAGAGGTTTATTTTGACTCACAGTCCTGAAGATCAAAGGTGTTTTGTTGTTGTTGTTTTTTCTGGCAAGGTAGTGCAGAGTATCACTTGATAGAAGAAAAGGGAATGAACACATATAACTTATCTCCTACAAAGCCACCAGCATTCAACCATGGATTTTCTACCCACTCAAAGTAAACTAATCCCAAAGACCCCACATCTAAGCATGAGTTTGTTTAAGTTTCCATAGAGGGTTTTACTTTCCTTACAATGATGATTATGGGTTAATACCCTTACAGTAGGGGTTAAATGTCAACACACTGGGATACTTAAACCACTATCCAGTCTATAGCAGAAAGTTTCTTTTTTACATTAAAACATTCCATAAATTCCTGTACTATAGTAAGGGTACTTTAATTAGTTCTGCATATATTAACCATATGTAAAGATCAACTGTCCTTTTCCACCCTCTCTTAGGTTATGTATATACTATTTTAGAAAATAGATAAAATGGTCTATAGAAGCTCATGTAGGGATATTGCTAATATCGGTGTATTAATAGTCATTGTGCATTTTATTTAGTGATTTGGTGGAGAGTTTTGTAGACTTGAAGACTTTTGGCTTCTTTTTAGAATTGACTTACATATTTGAGACTCAGGTTTACCCATAGTGACAAATGTTGCTTTGTTTATAGCATTTTTAAATGACTAGATTTTTACTAGAGGACATTATTAATTTAACTGTGAAATAAACTTGCATTCCATCTATGCGCTCTTGTAGAAATGACTCTTAAGAACTGCTTTTCACATTCTAATAGGATAATGTACTTTGGCAATAACATATTAATTGGTTAAATCTTGGTTGGCCAAGATTAATGTAGATTCCAGAGTGCTTGCTAGAGCTCAATAATAGTTTGTCTGAGGATGTTTTTCTACAATTATTTTAAAAAGGCCAGACAGGGTGGCAATCCTGTTAGCCCTAGCATTCAAGATTCAAAAGCAAGCAGCAGAAGCTAGGAGATCTCTATGAATTCTAGGCAAGTGTGGTCTACAAAGCAAATTCCAGGCCATCTGAGTATACATAGTAAGACCTTGTCTCAAAATAAAACAATAAAATATAATAAAAATAAGAAATAAAATGATTTGAAAAGTACCAGCCATTCTGGGTTTAAAGTATTACAGATAATCTATATGCATAATTGTGATTTCTTTCTGATTTTTCTTCTTGTGAACACAGTTTCTGTGGAAAGAGACTTTAAACCATCCGTCTCAAATAGCCAGAATACCATCTGTATACCTCCATTGACTTCTGTTTCAGTTAAGCCCCAAGTTGGCTGTGGTGAGGATTATTTGCTTTCCAAATTACCATGTGATGGTAAAGAAGTACCATTTGTGGTGCCCAGGTTTAAATTATCTTATATTCAGCCCAGGACACAAGGAACTCCTTCACATCTGGATGAACTGGAAGGTAAACAACAAACTGTCAAGATTTAAAAGTCAACATGGACTACTAAAATCTATTAATGGGGTTATTTTGCTTTTTTTTTTTAAACTTAGCTTTCACATAAAATTTATGCAAACATTTATATTTTGAGTTTTATAAATTCTTTATGTAGTACAGCTTAATAAATAGTATTTTTGAAATGTCCTGTTGTAGAAGCTGATCACAGTATAGCATGGCACATTTATATATAGTTTGACTTTAAAATGACATATTTTTGTTTATATGTGTATATGTTTATGTCTGTGCATACTACATATTTTTGGGTGCTTGTGGAGGTTTGAAGAGAGCAGGAGATCTCCTGGAGCCAGAGCTACAAGTGGTTGTATGCTGCTCAGTATGGGTGCTGGGAACTGAACTTGAGGCCCCTGGAAGAGCAGCAAGTGCTTTTACCTAATGAGCTGTATCTCCAGCTCCTTCAGTTTGACTTTTAAAATAGTCATATTATCTTTTATTCACCTGGAAAGAAAAAGTAAAAGAATTTAATCAGTAAGCACTGAAACAGAAATAATTTATCTACTATTTTCTACAATTTGGTACAATAAGACATAGGAAACAGTCATATAGTCTTTCTGTTTCTTGCTTCTTGCTTGTCATGTCTTTCTTCCTTCTCCTCTCTGCTCTTCTTCTCCTTTACTCCCTTCCTTCATTCTCAGGCTATACTTTTCAGACTGAATAAGTACATGAATAAGGTAGGTTCATTGCCTGAAATTTGGCTCACATTGTGGAGGTTAATTAGTAAAGTAAAATGAAACAACACATAGCTATTATTTAAAAAACTGTCTTAGTTCATTAAAGTGCTGCCAGTCGCAATAGCTTTTTCCCCCTCAAAGTTTTTATTAGAAAAAATTTCAAGCATATAAAGGAGTTGAAGGAATTTAACAGTAATACTTTCATGTCTAACACTTAAATTGTCCCATTAACATTTTTCTGTGCTTTTGTTTTTAATCATTATTTATATGACTCCATCCTTCTATCCAACATTAACCCTCTTTTTTTGGCAGTGAATGGGTAAAACATTTAAGAATAAATTGAAACCATCAATATATTCCTTCTAAATACTTACAGGTATCTTAATACAGATACTTACACATTTACTGAGGTTTACTGATCTATTTACAATTGTATTTTAACACAAATCTTATGAACAGTGTACTTTCTAAAACTGATTTTGATTTTTTTGTGTATTTGCTGAGTTTGAAATCTGTTGTTTGTTTAATATTGACAAATACATATAATAGTATAGTTCAAACCCATGTCAAGATATATATTACTTGTCCACATATTCTTTTTTGTTGTTTTGTCTTTTCCTTTTTCTTTTGGAATTCTGATTATATACATTTTGAACTTTTGATAATTGTTTTATGGATATATGGGACTGTTTTCAAACTTTTTTCTTTATTATTATTATTTATTACAATTTATTCACTTTGTATCCTGGCTATAGCCCCCTCCCTCATCTCCTCCTGGTCCTACCCTCCCTACCTATGCCTTTCCCCTAGTCCACTGAGGTCCTTCTTTCCTACTATCTGACCCTAGCTTATCAGGTCTCATCAGGACTGTCTGGATCCTCTTTCTCTGTGGCTTAGTAAAGCTACCTTGCCAGGGGGAGGTGATCAAAGAGCCAGCCACTGAGTCCATGTTAGAGACAGCACCTGCTCCCCTTACTAGGAAACCTACATGGAGACTAAGCTGCCCATGGGCTATATCTGAACAGGAGGTCTAGGTTCTTTCCATTCATGGTCCTCGGTTGATTCATCAGTCTCTGTAAGACCTCCTGAGCTGTTGGTCTCCTTGTAGCACTCCTATCCTCTCCAGATCTTTCTATCTTTTTCTTCCATAAGATTTCCTGCACTCTGCCCAAAGTTTGGCTATGAATCTCAGCATCTGCTTCAATATGCTCATGGGTAGAATCTTTCAGAGGCCCTCTATGGAATGTTTCTGTCCTGTTCCCTGAAATGAGAGTATGCTTACATTTTTAGGAATAGTTTATAAAAGTAATGGGCCATCTTTGGTGGTATTGAGGATCTTTAGTAATAATAACAATAACTTTATATATTGTAATAATATATTTATATATGACATATAGTTATATAAACAAATTTTATGTTACTTATAATAAATAAATACTTTATTTACATATTATACAACTTAATTTATATATAATTTAAAAATATATTATACAATAATAAAAGGGTAAATAATGCTCTTAGAGTCATTGATAACTTTTGTTGTCGTAAACTAAGACTTCAAGTAACATTTTGTGTATGTGCTAAATGATTTAAGTGTTAGTTTATAAAGTATATAAATAATAGTGCTCAGACATGACAACTCTTTAGAATCTCCCTGCTCTGCACTGTAATTCGATTATGCAATGTTAACTGAACCAGAGTGAAGGTAAAGTATCATCTCATATTTCATATCTTATTTTTCTTTTCTGAACTCAGTGTAAATCATTTATTTTATCATTTAACTTAATATAGAAAATACCAGTTTATGCTGTAGGTACAATTTTAAGTAGGACAGAGAATCAGAGATGACAATTGAAACATTTTAAATGATTTTTTTGTGTGTTTGTGTGTATAATGTGTGTGAATGTGTATTTGTGTATATGTGTGCATACATGTGCACATACTTGTGGAGGTCAGAGGTTGACACTGCTTGTCTTCTATTGCGCTCCATTCTATTTTTGAGACTTTGTCTTTCCCTGAGCCCAGAGCACACCACTTGGCTGCATTGGCTGGCCAGTGGGCTCTGAGAATCTTCGTGATTCTGTCCTTTCAGAGATAGGGTTATAGACAAGTGTCAGCATACTTGGCTTTTATGTGAGTGCTGAAGATCTAGATTCAGGCCCTCCTGTATGGAAGGCAGGCACTTCCTGACTAAGCTATTTCCTCAGCCCTTGAACTGAAAAAATATATTCATGTATATGGCTGCATGCATGCACAGAGATCTGAAGACAACCTGTAGTGACACTTCCAGGAACATCACCTATCTCCATTGAGAGAGGATCTGTCCATAAAGCTTACCAATTAGGCTAGATAGGATGGCCATTATGCTCTCCTAGCACTGGGTTTATAACATGCATATCTATGCCCAGCATCTTTGATGGGCTCTGAGAAATAAACTCAGATCCTCATGCTTGTAAGAGAAGGACTTTACTGACTTAGCATCATAACTTAAACCTTTGGAAAACCTTAGCTTATGCTATATGATTATTAAACCTGAAAGAAAAACTTAAAGTTCCTTAGCCTTTTCAAATAGTAAGATACCTTACATATGGAGAAAAACACACAAAGAGAAATGTAAAGTTCAGTGATGTATTAAAAAGTAAAGCAGCACATATGCAGACACCAGCCAAGTAAGGAAAATAGAGAACTACTAGGAAGCTTACTTCTTATTTCCTGAGGGTAGTCAGTATCACAATTGCTATTATCATAATTTTTGTTTTTCTTAATACTTATGCACATGTTTTTAAATGTTTGTCCCCCCATTTTCTGTCCTTTATTTATTTGTTTTATTTTTATTTTATTGAATTTTTTTTTTCATAGACTATATTTTTAATTACATCTTCCCCTCTCCCCAAACTCCTCTCAGTTCTTCCCTGCTTTTGTCTTCATATCCTTTTTGTCTCTCCTTAGAAAACAAACAGGCATCTAATGAATAATAAGAAAAGAAAGTAAAATAAGATAAAACAAAAACAAACAAATCAGAATAAGATAAAACAAACAGAAGAAAAAGAGCCAAAGGAAAAGTACCACAAATATATATAGACACAGAGACACATATGTTTGCAAACACAGGAATCCCATGAAAACATAAAACTGGAAGGCAGTATATGTATTCAAAGGACCTATAAGGTAAACTAAATAAAATGCCCTGGCATAACATGAGAGAAAGAACCTCTAAAGTTATCATCGGGTTCATTTGTGTTGGCTATTTGATGTTGGACATGGGTCCTACTCCTAAGAGTATGTTGGGATTCAAAGTGAATAAATAAATAAATAAATAAATAAATAAATAAATAAATAAATAAATACTGAAAAAAATATTTTTCTTTCAGTGAGACTCTCTTGGAGAAAACTAATTCTTCATTTGCAAGTGGTTATCAATTGGAGATAGCTTTTGGGTTAGGGATGGGGACTCTGGTGCAGACCTGCAGCAGCCCTGTGCTTGATGTCACCATCTTTGTTCATATGTGCATTGGTCATGCTCTGTTTAGAAGGCCTGTTTTCTTGGTGTCCTCCATTTCCTCTGGTTTTTAAACTCTTTTGACTCTTCTGCAGAATTTCCTAAACTCTGAGAGGAGGGATTTGATAGAGACATCCCATTCAGGGCTGAGTGTTCAAAAAAATCTCTCACTCTCTGCACATTATCTGGCTCTAGGTTTCGGTATTTTTTTCCCACCTGATGCAAGAAGAAGCTTTCAGCAAGGCACTGATTTATGAACATAGCAGAATGTTATTAGGAGTCATTTTATTGCTATGTTCCTTAACAGAGAAGTAATATTGTGTTTTCACCTAGGTCCCTGACCTATCTAGTCCTAGGTTCTTGACCATACACGCAGTGTCAGAGATGGGTTCCATCTCATGGAGTGGTCCTTATATCAAATCACATTGGTTGATTACTGCCACGGGCTTTGTACCACTATTGTGCCAGCATATCTTGCTACAAACCTGGTCATCATTGTAGATTGCAGGGTTTGTAGCTGGGTTGTGTTTATCTTTCTCCTTTGGTAGCATGCAGAGTACTTTCCAGTTACCATGAATACTAGTTTCCAGGGGTAAAGGTTCTATGTAGGCACCAGCTTGATTTTGCCATGTTCAATGAGTTGTGTAGGTGTTGTCTTCAGTGATAGGTCCTTACCATCGGTTTGTGGAGAGCAACCAATAGCCTTGGCAATAGCCTGGGTTGCTTAGGGGTTCCGTGGCCAACAACTTGATTAGATGTAACCCATTCCTGTTACTAGAAGCCTCATTTGGTGACAAGAAATATCCATCTGGGGTTCTGTCTCCCCCATTATTTGGCAATTTCATTTAGATCACCTTTATATATGTATATGTTTTAGGAAGCTTTTACTGGTTTAGGTTTCTATATGCTCTCTCAAATGGCCTTTAGATATAGCTGTATTCCTTTCCTGTATTCCCTCCCTTATCGCCTCTTCTCTCCTTATTTAATCCTCCCATTCCAGCCCCCGTCATCTATCCATAACTATTTTATTTCCCTGTCCTAAGAGATGTATCCCTCCTGCCTAGTCTCTTACTCTCTACCTAACCTCTGTGGCTTATACAGATTATAGCTTGCTTATCATCTCTCCAGTCCTTGATTTTCTTCTTAAGGTTACATTAAGATATAGTCTTGGTTCTTAGTATTTTTATTTTTATTCTCTCATATATTACATCCTGACTACAGTTTCCTTCCCCCCTTCCCAGTGTCTCTCTCCCACTTCCCCTCTCCCCCAGATCCACCCCAAATCTGTCCTCAGAAAAGAGCAGACCTCCAACGGACATGAACCAAACACAGCACAACAAGCTACAGTAAGACCAGGCATATACAATACAGCAAGGCTGGGTGGGGCAACCCAGTAGGTGGAACAGGAGCCCACAAACAGGCAAAAGAGTCAGAGATGGCCCCTGCTCCCACTGTTAGTAATCCCAGAACACCAAGATACTCAGCCATAATATATATGCAGAGGACCTTGGTCAGATCTCCATAGACTCCCAGATCTCTGTGAGCCCCTATGATGATGATTCAGTCAGTTGATTCTGTGTGTTGTGTTCCTGACCCCTCTGGTTCCTTTGATTGGTCCTCCCTGCTTCTCTGCAGGGATCTCCAGGCTCCACCTACTGTTTAGTTGTGGGACTCTGTATCTTCTCTCATTAGTTCCTGGATGTAATCTTTCTGGTAGTTCTTACTTATTTCTGTAAATATTTTAACTTATTTTGTTGTTATTTTCCAACTTAATTGAACTGTGGTTAAAAAGTGCTTTTTTATTTGAGTCCTTTCAAATAAAATATCTGCTTAGTGAATCTTATTATACATGGTCAATTTTTAAGAAATGATTTATTTATTATTTATACAGTACTCTGTATTATTTATACAGTATTCTGGCATGTCCACATGCCAGAAGTAAGCACCAGATCTCATTAACAGATGGTTATGAGCCATCATGTGGTTGCTGGGAATTGAAGTCAGGACCTTTGGAAGAACAGCCATTTCTCTTAAACTCTGAGTCATCTCTCCAGCCTGTATGTGGTCAATTTTTAAAATGTCTTAAAATGTATCTAAAATTATATTATTTAAAAGATGTTATACATGTAAGTAAAAACATAAGAGGAAATTCAGGTCATGAATTTTAGAATTGTCAATAGGGCTATAAAAAATGCTAAAAGTTTGCTAGGCTGTCTTAAGAGCAGGATTCCTGGCTTATTCTTTAAATATACCATTCAGTTAGAATTCTATAAATGTGTAATGGTTGAGGCATATGTTTTAATATAATTTGTGACAAAGTATTTTTAACCTGTCCCTTCAGTGTATCAGCTATTGGCTTATAGAAACAATTGCTTTCAGGATCTGCCAGAGCATCTTTTGGAGATCAAAAAGCAGAACTTTGCAGTTCATCCTACAGTGGATCCAGCTATGATGTGTATAATCCATGCTATATGTATCAACACTTTTCACCTGATTTAAGTAGACGCTTTCCACTTCATTTTGAAACAAAAAAATTATATGGATCTGGTAAGAAGACATTTGTGTATTTTCTTTTTTAAATTATTTTATTTTTATTAATTACAGTTTATTCACTTTGTATCCCCCCTGTACCTCCCTCCTTCCTCCCCTCCCAACCCCACCCTCCTTCTTCCCCACCCGTGTCCCTCTCCCAGGCCACTGATAAGGGAGGTCCTCCTCTTCTTCCCTCTGTTCCTAGTCTATCAGGTCTCATCAGGAGTGGCTGCATTGTTTTCTTCTGTGGCCTGGCAAGGCTGCTCCCCACTCAGGGGGAGGTGATCAAAGAGCAGGCCAATCAGTTCCTGTCAGAGACAGTCCCTGTCCCCATTACTATGGAGGCCACTTGGATACTGAACTGCCATAGGCTACCTCTGTGCAGGGGTTCCAGGCCATCTCCATGAGTGGTCCTTGGCTGGAGTATCAGTTTCAGAAAAGACCCCTGTGCCCAGACTTTTTGGATCTGTTGCTGTTAATTACAATTTATTCACTTTGTATTCCAGTTGTAGCCCCCTGTCTTGTCCCCTCCCAATCCTACCCTCTCTCCCTCATCTCCTCCCATGCCCCTCCCCAAGTTCATGGATATGGGAGGTCTTCCTCCCCTTCTATCTGACCTTAGCCTATCAGGTCTCATCGGGACTGGCTGCATTGTCTTCCTCTGTGGCCTGGTAAGGCTGTTCCCCCCTCAGGGGGAGGTGATCTGTCATTTTTATAACCTCAGATTTTATATTGTTTTCTTGCTCTTCAGGTGTAATAGTATCTCCAGGGCTTACTGAGGTAGAATAGTTGGTTTCCAGTGGTGTCATATGGGTTTTGTTGCTTGTGTTCTAACACTGGCCTCTAGCCATCTGGTTGTCTCTGATGGTCAGGCAGTTCTGAAGTAAGCTGAGAGAGCTCTAAGGTGAACTTTGCTTGGAAGTAGGGGACCTACAGGCTTCCTCAGGATGGCAGACAATGGGAGTTGGCACCTGTGTACATCTTACCTGCTGGGTCTGCTGTTTGTGTTTCAGGTGGGCCTGGCAGGTCAGGAGTAGGTGGAGAGGGTAGCTGAATGCTGCTGCTGGTGTGTGTGTGGGTGGGGGGTGCCCATAGGCCTCCTTAGGATGGTGGGCAATGAGGCTTAGTGCTTGCATACAGCTCACCTCTGCTGGATTTGCTGTCTGTGGCCCATGTGGCCAGGCAGATCCAATATTTTCTTTTTGTGTTCTAATCATCTAGCTGAATTTAAGAATTCACGATTGGAGGTACATACAAAAAAATTGAAACTGACTGGAATTTTTTAGTTTGATATTATCTCAGATGCATAAAATTCTCAGGTTTTTAGGTGTCATGGGTCTACATGCATGAATCAACATCACTGAAAATTTAAAAAAAATTTTTTTGTAAGGGCCTGCTGTAGCACTGTGCTAGAATACACATTTAGTGTAAAGAGTGTCTTTTTTAAAATTTATTTATTATTTTTTTTCACAATTTATTCATTATGTATCCTGATTGAAGCACCCTCCCTCAACTCTCTCAATCCCACCCTCCCTCCATCTCCCTCTCATCCCTTCCCCTAATCTACTAAAAGGGGAAGTTCTCCATTATTGCCACCTGCCCTAAGCTTGTTAAATCTCTTCAGGTCTGTTTGGATTCTTTTCCTCCGTGGCCTGGCAAGGCCTCATCATCAGGGGCGAGTGATCAGAGAACAGTCAACTGAGTTCATAATAGAGGCAGTCCCTGCTCCCCTCACTCAGAGACTGAGTTACTAATCGGCCACATCTGAGCAAAAAGATCTTACAATTTGGGAAAAGAACTAGAAATACAAGAGCACATGGGATTCAAGACTGAAATGTTATCATGTTATATGTGCTTATTAAATAGTAGTCGAATTACATTTATCAAGGAGTACTTACATCCTATTAAATTATTTTTTTTCTGGATGAAAGATTGGGGAATATAAGCAAAACCATGCTTAATATTTGATGTGGATATAAAAATATATTATTTGAGTGCTATAGAGTTCTGCCTTAAAGTTTAAAATAATTGAACTTTTTAAGATTTTGTCAGAATTTCTTTTTATGTATATTTGCATATATATGATATACATGATGAATTCCTATAGAGGTTTAGTTTATGACAATTAGGTGGAATGTTACTGTTTCATTTTTATTACTAAAAAAATCTACCTTTTCTCTCTTTGTAGTTTGTGATTTAAGGACCAGTAAACTTCCTGGTTCACCTGGGTTAAGCAAATCTATGCTCGATCTTACAACATCACCTCAGCGATTCATTCAGGTATAATAATAATTTCATTATATGTGAACTTTTTTTAAACAAAAAAGCCAGAACTATGTGAATTGCATTAGGAATCACATGTAAATCTGTGGCTATGTGTTTTACAACATCTGAAGAATAAAAACTTGGCTTTTCCTATATTATTTTGGGAAAGTTTCAGTGATTAATAAAAGGCATTAAATTTCTTTCATTTTACATACTTTTATATCTCTTAATTGATATGCAATGAAGCATCTTGAACCAATTGGTATCTGTAATCAAATAGTTAAAAGTACTTATTTAACTTTGCTTATTGAACATAACCAGGCAGTTACTAAGAATTAGTGTTTCTATTGAGGTGGAAGACTTTAATTTTTCAATATGACTAATATAGTATCCTTTGGTAATTTAAATACACCAAAACGTAAAAAAGGGAAATAGTGATAGAGATGAGAAAAGTTTAAAGACAAGTCATCTGTCTTCTTGTGAGTGAAAGTAAAAGCACCCTGAGCATCATTTTATATATATCCATGTACGTCTTTTTTGTTAGTGTGGAAGATGTTTTATAAATGTGTATGTATTCTCAATTAGTCTTAAAATCTTATCATCAATTTAAAAATACTTAATGCTTTATAATAGCAGTTATTAAACACATATCTGAGTTGCTTGATGACTTTGTTAAATACAAACTGTCAAGGCTTCATTCACCCCTAGAAGTTTTGATTCAGTAGTCCCATGGTAGGCTTTGAATTTTTTAAAATTTATTTTTTTTTCACAATTTATTCTTTATATATCCTGATTGAAGCCCCCTCCCTCAACTCCTTCCAGTCCCACACTCCCTCCCTCTTACCTCTATCCCTTTCTTCCAGTCCACTGAAAGTAGGAGTTCTCCTCCCTTCCATCTGAGCCTAGCTTATCAAGTTTCGTCAGGACTGCCTGGATCCTCTTCCTCTGTGGCCTGGCAAGGCCGCATCACCAGGGGCAAGTGATCAAAGAGCAGGCAATCAAGTTCATGACAGAGGCAGCCCATGTACCCCTTACTCAGGAACCTATGTGGAGACTGAGCTGCCAATCAGCTACATCTGTGCAGGGGGTCTAGGTCCTCTCTATGCATGGTTCTTGGTTGATGCATCAGTCTCTGCAGGATGGAGAGGGAGAGTTTTAAATTTTTGTTTGTAATAAAGTTTGCATGATTCAGATGTTCCTGGTCTAAATGGACTGACTATGCTTTGATAATACTGTTTTATGCTTTGATAGGTTACTGGACGTATCCAGCAATGTAGGCAATATGAAAATTAATAACAAAACAAAAATACTAAAGGCTTTCCAGTGTTACCTACTAAGGTATTTCTCAATATGTGTTAGAGAGTTTCTTCCCTCTCCTACAAAAGTGGGAAATTCTGACCAGTAACACTGATAGTGATGATGATTGAGTTTGATTCAAGGTTTATTGGGGAATGAAAGTTTTTAAAGTTTGATGTGTAGTTTCTGACTGAAGCATTTTGTTGTGGTTGTTGTTGTTGTTGCAGAGACATGACTCACTGTCCAGTGTGCCTAGTAGTTCTTCTTCAAGGAAAAATTCTCAGGGTAGTAACAGAAGCCTGGGTAAGGAATACAGTGTCCTGGTTATACTGTTAAGCAGATTATTTCTACTTAGTAATATCTTGACAGTGTTATAATTGTATAAAGAAAAAAACATATTCTATTCATTGTATAATAGTGTATTTCTGTTAACAGTATTATAACTAACTCAGATCACATAACCCATGGCTCAGTGTTCAAGCAGGAATGAATATTTTTTAAATAAACTGTTATATAGCTTGTACTTTTTATTTGAAGGATATGAATTAATGAATGTTCAGAAGCACATAGACCTTATAAGTGTTTTTTGAAGAGTTTTAGCTTAATTTCCCACTCTGTAATTTTGTTAAATTCCTAAACTTTGTGCATTTTTATTGTATCTTATGTTTAGGACTTTACTAAAAAACACAAAAATGTGATTTTATCAAACTACATTGAATATATATATATATTCATATATATATTCATATATATATATTCAGTGTATTTTTGCCTGGCATGGTGGCATATGTCTTTAATCCCAGCACTTGGAAGGCAAGGCAGGTGGATCTCTGAGTTCAAGACCAGCCACTACATAGTGAGTTACTGGAAAGACAGGGCTACAGAGTAAGATCCTGTCTCAAAAATCCAAAACATGCTTATTTTGTGTGTGCTTTAAAATTGGTTTATTTCAAAGATTAATTGTATTAAAAAGATTGCATGTAGTTTCAATTCTTTGTCCTTTATAATTCAGATACAATTACGCTGTCGGGAGATGAGAGAGACTGGGGGAGGTTGAATGTGAAGTTGTTTTATAACTCTTCGGCAGAGCAGGTCTGGATCACAGTTTTACAGGTAAATTAGTGGTTTCAGAACAGCAAAGGGAACTAGCCACAGAGTTAATAGACAGCCTACAAAATGGGGAAGAATCTTTTCCAGTTATACTTTAGACAAGGAGTTAATATCTAGAATATGTAAAGAACTGAAAACATAAATACCAAAAACCCCAAACTGCCAAAGAGTAAATGAGCTAAGAACTGAACAGACGTCTCTTCATATAAGAGATACAAAAGGGTAATAAATTCTTAAAGAATGTTCAGTATTGCCACTTGAGTTTTTGGTCTTAGCCATTCTGGTGGATGAAATCTCAGGGTCGTTTTGAGTTGCAATTCCCTGATGACTAAGGACATTGAGCATTTCTTTAAGTGTTCCTCTGCCATTCAATATTCCTCTATTGAGAATTCTCTGCACACGCTGGAGAGGATGTGGAGAAAGGGGAACACTCCTCCATTGCTGGTGGGAATGTAAACTTGTACAACCACTTTGGAAATCAATCTGGCGGTTTCTCAGAAAATCAGGAATAGTGCTACCTCAAGGTCTGGCTGTACTACTCCTAGGCATGTATTCAAAATATGTTCAAGTACATAACAAGGACATTTGCTCAACCATGTTCATAGCAGGTTTATTCGTAATAGGCAGAATCTAGAACAACTTAGATGTCCCTCAACAGAGGAATGGATCCAGAAAGTGTGGTACATTTGCACAATGGAATGCTACTCAGAATTAAAAACAAGGAAATCACGAAATGTGCAGACAAATGGTTGGAACTAGAAAAGGTCATCCTGAGTGAGAGAACCCAGGAGCAGAGAGACACACATATAAACTCACTTATAAGTAGATATTAGACATATAATATAGCATAAAGATACTAAAATTTGTAGGTCTAAAGAAGCTAAACAAGAAGGAGGACCCTAGGGAAGATGCTTAATCTTCATTCAGAATGGCAAATGGGATAGACATCGGAAGAGGGAGAAAACAGGAAACAGGACAGGAGCCTACCACGGAGGGCCTCTGAAAGACTCTGCCCAGTATTGTATAAAAGCAGATAATGAGATTCATAGCCAAACTTTGGACACAGTGTAGGGAATCTTATAAAAGAAGGGAGAGCTAGAAAGATCTGGAAGGGACAGGAGCTCTACAAGGAGACCAACAAAACAAAAAATCTGGGCTCAGGGGTCTTTACTGAGACTGATACTCCAACCAAGGACCATGCATGGAAATAACCTAGAACCCCTGCTCACATGTAGTCCATGGCAGCTCAGTCTCCAAGTAGGTTTTCTAGTAAGGGGAGCAGGGGTAGTCTCTGACATGAACTCAGTGACTGGCTCTTTGATCATCTCCCCCTGTAGGGTGCAGCCTTACCAGGTTGCAGAGGAAGACAATGCAGCCAGTTCTGATGAGACCTGATAGGCTAGGGTTAGGTAGAACAGAAGGACCTGGTCCTCCCCTATCAGTGGACTAGGGAAGGGGTATAGGGAGAGAAAAGGGAAGGTGAAGGAGAGGAGGAAGGGGCCTACAACTGGGATACAAAGTAAATAAATTTTAATAAATTTAAAAATTAAAAAAAGAATATTCAGTATCCTTAGTCATCAGGTAAATGCAAATGAAAACTTCTTTGAGATTCTATCTCATCCCAGTCAGAATAGCTAACATAAAAAAAAAAAATTCTGGTGAGGATGTTGGATAAAAGGAACCCTTTATGGGGGTTACATTAGTGTAACCACTGTGGAATTTCTTTGTGGAAATGGCTTAAAAAATGCCCAAAGTAAAACCTCAAAACAAACAAATGAACAACAACAATAAAGCTCCAAACAAAGACCCCCAGAAAAAAACATTCATAAATTAAGCTACCGGAGGACTCAGCTCCCTAGGCACATACCCAAAGGACCATTAACCCTACTCCACAACAACTTGCACATTCATGTTTATTGCTCTTCTCTTCACAATGGCAGAGAACTTAAATCATCCCAGAGGTCCATCAACATATGAACTGATAACGAAAATCTGCTGCATAGAAAATCTGGTGTGTATATACCAGATTTCCATTGTGTGAATACACAATGGAAATTTTTTAGCTATATAAATAAATTATGAAAATTTCAAGAAAACATATCTGGAAATTAATAAGTGAGATGAACAAGACTCAGAAGACAAATACTACATGTTCTGTTTTATATGTGAGTCCTGTTTTTGTTATTTATATTTGTACTTATATGGATATGTCAGGAAATGAGAAAGAGGATCATAAAAGGGATGGATGTTTTTTAAGATTCAAATTTGAGTATAATGTGTTCTTTTCTTCATTAATTTATTTATTTGTTCATTTTACATCCCAATTACAATCCTCTTTCCTCTCCTCCCAGTCTCATCCTTCAACCACTCTCCTGCCCACAAGAGTACCAACCACCCTGGCACATCAAGTTGCATCAGAACTAAATGCTTCCTCTTTCACTGAGGCAAAACAAGGCAGCCCTGCTAGGGAAACAGGATGCAGGATGCCAGTCCAAGTCAGAGAGAGCCCCTGCTCCAATTAGTAGGGGACCCACTGGAGGACCAAGCAGCCAATCAGCTTCATATGTGTAGACTACCTAGGACCAGTCCATGCTTTTTCTTTGGCTGTTGGTTCAGTCTCTGTGAGCCCCCATAGGCTCAGGTTAGTTGGCTATATAGGTCTTGTGGTATCCTTTACCCTTCCAGCTCCCTTAACCTTCCCCTCACTCTTCCATAAGACTCCCTGAGTTCTACCTAATGTTTGCCAGTGGGTCTCTGCATCTTTTTCCATTATCTGCTGGATGAAGCCTCTTGACAGTTATGCTAGGTTCATGTCATTTCTGGGTCTGGGATACCTAACTAAGGATGATCTTTTCTAGTTCCATTCATTTGCCTGCAGATTTCATGATGTCCTTGTTTTTAATGTCTGAGTAGTATTCCATTGTGTAAATATCGCACATTTTCTTTTTTTGTTTGTTTTTTAATTTTTATTTTTTTAACATTAATCACAGGTTATTTACTTTGTATCCCAGCCATGGCCCCCTCCCTCATTCCCTCCCAATCCCACCCTCTCACCCTCATTTATTCCCTGTCTCTTTCCAAGTCCATTGCTAGGGGAGGTCCTCCTCCCCTTCCATCTGACCCTAGCTTATCAGGTATCTTCAGGACTGGCTGCAACGTCCTCCTCTGTGGCCTAGCAAGGCTGTTCCTCCCTCAGGGGGGTTGGGGGACGTAAAGGAGCCAGTCATTGAGTTCATGTCAGAAATAGTTCCTGTTCCTCTTACTAGGGAACACACTTGGATACTGAGCTGCCATGGGCTACATCCGAGCAGGGGTTATAGGTTATATCCATACATGGTACTTGGTTGGAGAAACAGTCTCATAGAGGGCCCCCGTGCCCTGATAGATTTCCCACATTTTCTTTATCCCTCTTTAGTTGAGGGACATCTGGGTTGTTTCTAGTTTCTATCTATTACAAATAAAGCTGCTATGAACATAGTAGAGCAAATGTCCTTGTGGTTTGATGAAGAATATTTTGTGTATGTGCCTAGGAATGGTATAGCTGGGTCTTGAGGTAGAACTATTCCCAGTGTTCTGAGAAAGCTCCAGATTGATTTCCAAAATGGTTGTGCAAGTTTGCACTCCCACCAGTAGTGGAGGAGTCTTCCCCTTGCCCCACATCCTCACCAGCATGTACTGTCACTAGAGTTTTTGATCTTAGTCATTCTGATGGGTGTACGATGGAATTTCAGGGTCATTTTGATTTGCATTTCCCTGATGACTAAGGATGAGTGCTGTCCAGCCATTAGAGATTCCTTTGTTGAGAATTCTCAGTTTAGTTCTGTACCCCATTTTTTTAATTGGGTTATCTGGTTTGTTGGTGTGTAATTTTTGAGTTCTTTACATATTTTGGATATTAACCCTCTATTGGATGTTGGGATGGTGAAGATCTTTTCCCAATCTGTAGGCTACTGATTTGTCCTACTGATGGTGTCCTTTGCCCTAAAGATTTTTTTGTTTTAGGAGGTCCCATTTTTTAATTGTTGCTCTTAGTGCATGTGCTATTGGTACAGGAAGTTGTCTCCTGTACCAATGCATTCAAGGCTATTTAAGGGGGATGGATTTAATGGCTTCTGTTTTTCATTGATTGTTATGGGTAAGAGTTTTAAGGAGAATAGTAGAGGAAGAGTGATCAACTAAGACAAAATATATATGAAAATGGCATGAACGAAACTGATAGGATTCTAGAATAATGTCAAAATATTAGTGTGGGTAAAATATGAAATCCTAGCATTCTAAAATTTATTTAAAAATTATTAACTCGGTAGGGCATGGTGGCACATACCTTTAATCACAGTACTCTGGAGGCAGAGGCAGGTGTGTCTTTGAGGCCATCCTCGTCTACATTGTGAATCCCTAAACAACCGTGGCTATGTAGAGAGACCTTGTCTCAAAAAAGTTATTAACCCAATAAATATATCAGATATTCGTCTTGTCAGAGTCCGTTGTAAAAATTAAATTGTGTATTCATGTTTCTTTTAAGTGCAGAGATGTGACTTGGCCCTCTAGTTATGGAGAGAGTCCCACAATTTCTATAAAAGGAATTTTAACATTGTCCAAACCAGTACATTTCAAATCTTCAGCCAAAGAAGGGTCTAACGTAAGTAGCTTTTTGTGTTTGAATTTATTTTCATTTTCTCATATTTGTCATTTTTATTTATGTAAAATGTGAGAATAAGAAAGTGTTTTGTTTTGGAGAAGCTAAAACGATATACCCTTGCTTTTAAAAGATAATTTTAAATTCTAACAGTATTTGCGATTTCATTGTCTGATATTAGGATGAATTTTAAAAGGAAATCTTAGTTACTAGAATATATAGAAGATTAACTATAAGTAAGAAACGTTTTTACATTCCTTGCTGTCAATACTTGCTGGCTTTGAAAAGCAATTGCAAAATTGCAGTTAATCTCTTTCTCAAAATCTTCCAATTATTCTAACTAGAAGGTTTATTATCTTGAGTTTTGTTTTATAGATTGTTTTCACATTAATTTAAATACACACCCATTTTTATCTTTTGATATGGTTAAAAAGGTTTTATATGCAAATAGTATTTTAAAAAATATTTACAATTCTCTATATTTAAGTGTGTGTGTGTGTGTGTGTGTTGGTTTGTGCCCATAAGTGCAGTACACATTGAGGCCAAAAGACTGCATCTCTTGGGTCTGGAGTTACAAAGTGGTTGTAAGCCACCTGATGTGGATGCTGAGACTTGAACACAGGTCCACTACAAAACAGTGTGCACTCTTACCATCTAAGCCATCTATCTAGCCCTGAAAAGATATCTTTTAAAAGAACATGTCGTCTTAAAATAATAGAGTTCAAGTGTCTAAGAACTGAAGAAAATTCATTTTATTTATTAATCATAAAATACATCTTGGTATTTTTTATTTACTATGATTAGGAAATTTTTTAATTGAAAAATTTTCATATAATATTTTCTAATAATGCTTTTCCCCTTCTCCAAATCCTCTCAGTTCCTCTGAGCCCAACCAATTCCACAGAGTAACTTTTTTATTTGTTGTTTTTTTCGAGACAGGCTTTCTCTGTGTAACTTGGCTGTCCTGGACTCACTGTGTAGACTAGGCTGCCTCTAACTCCCGGAGATCTGCCTGTCTCTGGCTCCCAGAGTGCTGGGATTAAAGTAGTATGCCACCATGCCCAACTGGAAATATTTCTCGATTACTCTAAGACAGTGGTTCTCAACCTGTGGTTCATGACCCCACTGGGGTTGCATATCAGATAACTTGTATATCAGATATTACATTACAGTTCATAACAGTAACAACATTAGTTATGAAGCAGAAATGAAATTTTGTGGTTGCAATCACTACAACATGAGGTATTAAAGGGTCACAGCATTAGGAAGGTTGAGAACCATGGCTCTAAAACATATACATTTTTTTGAAAATTATTTTGTCAACATTATTAAAAACCTTAAAGTATTTACAGTTAGTAACAAAGCTATTTTACCTGAAATCTGTTCCATGAAAATAATCTAAAATGAAAAACGTATGTAAAATGTTCGTAATTTTGTACATAATAAAAAAATGAAAAAACCCTAAATGTCTTTAGAGAAATGATATACTCAAGGATGAACACTTTCTGAATTAAGCAGTTTTACTTTATGTTTTGAAATAAAATTAAGTTAACTTAGGAAGAATACTTTTAATACTCTTTTATTTTCACAAATCAAGTGGTTTGGTAGATCCCTATTATGGAAAATAAGAAATATACCAGCATATTTTTACCGTGTAAGATTGTTAACTAGTTTATGTGTAATATTTTATTAGTATAGTTCTTTAGCTTGGTAATTTAAAAGAAGCAACTCAGTGGTTGGGAGGTCAACAGGAACATAATTCTCTCTGATCAGATATAAATTATTATAATATGAGTCAAAGTTTGGAGACAATATCCAGCATATTGTTAGCTGGCTAGATGCTGGGAGCAACTGCATTCTGGATGGGCAAAAGCAAGCAAGTGAGCTTCCTGGAGGCAGCCCACTCATTTTTGCATGGCTGACAAATGGGTGTAACCCTGGTTTAGGTAAAGCCCCCAGGGATTTTGCCTCAAAGCTGCTATATTTCTTTCCTATGCTTGTCTCGTATGCCTGGCATCAGGCAGTTGAGCATGAATAGACCCTTGCTGCCAATAGCATAATATTCCCCCATAGGTGCTATTCTCCATGTTGGGAAGATTTCCCACAAAGATTTTGATAATTCCCGATAATGATTCCTGAATTGATACAAGTAATTTAAAAACCCTCCTCCAATATAGCAAAAACTGTTAGGAGCTCTGTGAGCCTCCATGTCAGTTACACCAAGAAGAAAAACAAGATGGAAACAAATTAATAATCGAGGAAATACACTCATCCTAGTTTTAGTCCAAGGATAAGGCCCAGGTGTACACCTTGATAAGAAAGACTGCATATAGAAACAAAGAATAAATGGTTAGCTATACAAGACAGACCCCTGTTTCTTATAAAACCCTTGACATAAAAAAATTACTCTTTGAACACATAATGAACATATGAAATAACAAAAAGATAAAACTTCTGCTTTGAACTCATAATGAGCACATAGATAAACCCACTTCTTTAAACTTATTATGAGAAAAAGTATCTAGTTATAGTTCTAATGAAAGAACTTAAAATCAGTAGTCCTATTGTAACTCCCTTTTTGTGTACTGATTATATCTATTCTTAAATGATGTAATTTTTCTTAGATAGAAAAATTTGTCTTAAAGGGTATAAAACCCAGGACAGAAATAAAGTTGTTGTTGGTTGGTTGGAGTTTTTCTCCATCTGCCATCCACCCTATCTGTCTGTCTGATTGTCTGTGTATAGGTATGAATGTCTGATTCTCTGTATGTCTGTTTAGTATATATGTACAAATGTGTAAGTATCTTTGCATATCCATGATGTGCATGTATGATGGAGGCCCTCTTGAATGTATGTATAAATGTATACATGTCTGCATGTCTGATTGTTTGCCTGTATGTATGTATGAACTGATACTATGGAGTGTGTGTGGGAGCGCATGATTTTCCTTCTTTCTCTTGCTGGCTCATAAAGAGTTAATGAGCCCATGCAGGTGGTCTGCTGCTCATCCCTGTGTTAAAGAGCTAGAAGTTTTTTGCTAATGTAACTCATAAATCCTCAGGAAAAAAAAGTCTGAAGAGTAATTTATTCAGCTCTGTATACACGTCCTCAGTCTTTCTCCTGTCCATGTCACAGCGGACTGTGACAGCTGGGTATCTGACTTTTCAGAAAGCTACACTAAAGATGTAAAGAAGAAAGTACATAGCAAAGAACAATGTAATGTTCAGTTTATTTTAAAGAGAATTTAAATACCTTTATGTGAACAGCTTAGATTCTGAATGTTTAGAAAATTTGTGTATGAAATTCTTGAGCCACTGTTACTAACTTTTGGATTATGATGAATATCAAGAGAGATGTATGAGAAAATCAAGGATGGGAAAACAGTAAAATTTTCAAAAAGGCAAAGCTGTATTATGGTGAGGTTGTTAATATTAATCTTAATTCCTAATTACAAGGATGATTTGTGAAGCTAAGTTAGATAGTAAAATAAGATACATCTATTTATTTTCATTTTTTAATGAAAATATACTTGTAAAATATATTCATACCTTCTTGGGTATGAAAACTTTTTTTATAATGGCATATGAACCTTTTTAAGAATACGTTTAATATTTTCTTGTTTTTTTTAAGGTTATTGAATTTATGGAAACTTTTGTATTTGCTATTAAACTACAAAATCTACAAGCTGTTAGGCTTGTATTTAAGATTCAAATCCAGACTCCCAGGAAGAAAACCATTGGAGAATGTTCTCTATCACTCAGAACTCTCAGTACACAGGAAATGGATTACTCGTTGGAAATAATACCACCTTCAAAACTTTCTGTAAGTGCTAATACTATCCAATTCTGAATGTAGTTCACATATGTAAAATGGTTTATTGAATAACTTTTATTTCAAATAATGAATTTTAAGAGGTTTTAGTAGCTGAGGACTCAGGAAAAATAAGAATGAATCATAAAATCCATATACAATCTGAGATTACTATAAAGTAGAATTAAGAAAATGGTTTTAGTGATAGGTAAGCTACAGGTCTGTTCACAAATTGGTTAGAGTGGCATTTGGTCCCATACTGGGCATGGAATCCAGGACCTTACACATGCTGAGCACATGTGCTCCTGCTGACTTTACTATGCCCCACCCATGCCAAACAATAGAAATTTGTCCTTATTTTAATACATTTTTACTATTACATCAAAAAATTTTATATGTATTTATTTCATGGAGGAGGATTATGCAATAGCATGTGTACGGAGGTCAGAGGGCAACAAGTGGGAATTGATTCTCCTCACTATATAGGTCCTGGAGAACAGACTCTGGTTGTCAGGCTTAGCAACAATCTCCCTCAGACTAGGCCATCTCTTTGGACAAAAGAATGAAAGTTTATAAAGTTAATTGTTTTTTCCTGTTATTGCTACAAAAAGCACTTGGTTGATTTTTGAGACCTGATATTTGCTTCTATCAACCAGGTAGCCATCTGCTTATCTTTCCCCTGTCCCCTGATCACACCCATTTGAATGTAGAGTTTGAGTGGTGCTTTTCCTTCACTGTGGGTTATGGGGGTTAAGATATGCCTCAACCTCTGGTTCGGACACCTGCAGTGCCACAGTTGAGCCCATTTGGGCTGTGTGGTTGTCATCTGTTAGGATGGTGGCCTTCCCCCCCTACCCACTGTGGAAGGAGCTCAGTGTCAGTGAGGTGTCATCAATTTTGCTTTGTAAGTGGCAGACCAGACCTAGCTGCCAGATCTCAGCACAAGATCACTTCCATTGCACAGAATGAGCTCTGAACTTTGTTCAGAGTGCATGAATGTATTGGGAGGAGTCAGGTACAGTCCTTTGCCTGGGAATTGTGTTCTGGGGAGAGTCAGCAGGTACAGAGCGCAGGTTTATTTTTGTACTGAAAATGCACTATAGACTTTCAAATCCTGTGTAGACATTTTCTCAATGAGACTTCTTCTAAAATTACTTTAGTTTGTGTTGACTTGATATAAAACTAATCAGGACATCCGGAATGATAATCTATTCAGCATTGTTCTTTTTATTCAGTATTGCTTCAGCTGTTCTAGGTCTTTGTCATTCTAAATGAGTTTTAGGATAACTTTTTATATTTCTGTGAAGAATGAGATGAGGGTTTTGATTGAGAGTCATTGAATCTATAAATAAATAGCTTTTTGGTAAAATATTAATTCTACCAGTTTATAAGCACGAATGTCTTTCCAGTTCTTAGTGTCTTTCTCAATCTCAAGATATTTAAAGTTTTCATTGTAGAGGCCGTCCCTCATCTCCTTGGTTAGGTTAGTCCAGGATATTATATTTTCTTTGAGGCTATTATGAAAAGGAATGTGTTTGTGATTGCTTTCTCAGTCTGTCTGTTGTTGGTGTATAGAAAGGCTACTGAGTTTTGCAGGTTGGTTCTGTATCTGTTATTTTGTTGAAATCGTTAATCATTTTTAGAAGTTTTGTTGTAGAATTTTGGCGATCTATTTTTTATAATAATCATATTACCTGAAATAGGGATGATTTGACTTGTTTTCCTACTCCTGTACCTTTAATTTCCTTTTCTAACCTGATTGCTCTAGCTAGTGCTTTGAGCACTATATTGAAATGGAGTGGGGATAGTGGATGATGGTCCTTTCTCATTCCTGATTTCAATGGGAGTGTTCAAGCTTTTCTTCATTGATGATAATATTGGCTGTGGTTTTGTTACATATAGCCTTTAGCATGTTGATGTATGTTCTCGACAGTTCCAATTTCTTTAGAAATTTTTAACTTATGAAGACATGTTGGGTTTTTGTCAAAGGTTTTTTATGTTAAGATCATCATGTGCTTTTTGTCTTTAAGTCCATATTTTGTGATTTATTATATTTATTGACTTGTGTATGTTGAAACCATCCCTGCATCTCTGGGATAAAGCTAACTTGGTTATAGTAGATAACCTTTTAGAGGCATGACTATATTTAGTTTGCAGGTCTTTTACTGAGGATTTTTGAATCTATGTTCATCAATGATATTGGTCTCTTATTTTCTTTTATTGTTGTGTTTTACTGGTTTCATAGAATGAATTCGGAAGTACTCCTGTTTCTATTTCTGTGAAAAATATAAGAAAAATTGGCTGTAGACCTTTTTTGCGAGTCTTGTATAACTCTGCTATGAATCTATCTGGGACTGTGATTTTTTTTTTTTTTTTTTTTTTTTTGTTGTTGTTGTAAGACTGTTGTTACTATTTGAATCTTCTCATTTGTTAGAGGTTTGTTTAGGCTGTTGATCTTTTCTTGATTTAATTTTGCTGGTTTGGATGAATCAAATTCATCCAAATTTCTTTTAGATTTTTCCATCTTAATAGATAATTTTTTTAATGTATTCCTTTATAATATTCTGAATTTCTTTATTTTCTGCTGTTACAGTTCTCTGCTCATTTCTGACCTGTTAATTTGAATAATCTTTCTTTTGGTTAGTTGGACCAATAGTCTGTCAATTTTGTTCATTTTCTGAAAGAACTAGCCCTTACAGTCATCATATCTTGTATTGTTTTTTCTATTTTGTTAATTTTTGCTTTGATTATTTTATTATTTCTTGACATCTACTGAATTTGGGTTTGATTTGTTCTTGTTTTTCCAAATTTTCAAGTTGCATCATTAAGCCATTAATTTTTGCTTGCTCTTTTTTTTTAAAATACAGGCACTTAGAGCTGTAAATTTCCCTGTTGAACTACTTTAAATGTACTGTTTTCATTTTCATTTAGTTCCAGGCAATTATTTCTCTCTTTCTTGTTTTTTTTTTCTTTTAACCATTCATAATTTAGTAATGATTTGCATAATCTTCATGAATTTATATAGTTATTAGAGATTTGTTTGCTGTTAATTCTAAATTTTATTACATTGTGGGCATAAAAATACATGGAGTCATTTCAATCTTTCTGTATCTGGAAGGGTTTATTTTGTATTTTTTAAAATAAACTTCTTGATGTCAGTCATTAATCATATTAAGTATTTATTTGAGATCTTAGATTTCTGTGCTCAATATTGTGGATGAGAGATGATTTATCTAAAGAAATAAGTTAACTCTCCAGAAATTTACCTTTATGGCTCACTTGTTGCTAAAGTTCAAAATGTTCATACCATGCTTATGAGCATGTGCTCATGATACCCTTGGAAAGAGTGAAACTTGCCTGAGTGTATGGAGACAGCAGTTGGAGAATGGGACTTGTTTTCAGAGACAGCTCTTTGAGTTCTGCCAGTATTTATTACTTTACCCCACACGAAAATATTCTCAAACATACCAGATCATGTTTTCTCTAATATTCTTTTACTGTGGCCTGGTAAGGCTGCACTCCCCAGGGGGAGGTGATCAAAGAGCCTGCCACTGAGTTCATGTTAGAGACAGTGCCTGACCCCCTTCAGTTTCACCAGGAAACTGAACAGTCTAGGTCCTCTCCATGCATAGTCCTTAGTTGGAGTATTGGTCTCTGCAGGACCCCCTGGGCCCAGATTTTTTGGCTTTGTTGTTCTCCTTGTGGAGTACCTGTCCCCTCCAGGTTTTTCTATCTCCCTCTTCTTCCATAAGGTTTCCGGCACTCTGCCCAAAGTTTGGCTATGAGTCTTTACCAATCCTACATCTGACAGAGGGCTAATATCCAGAATATATAAGGAACTGAAGAAGTTAAACACCAACAAACCAAGTAATCCAATTAAAAAATGAGGCACAGAGCTAAACAGAGAATTCTCAACAGAGGACTATCAAATGGCAGAGAAACACTTAAAGAAATGCTCAACGTCCTTAGACATTTGGAAAACGCAATTCAATATGACCATGAGAATCCACTGCACAACCATCAGAATGGCTAAGATCAAAAACTCAAGGAATGATGTAGGTGGAGAGGTTGTGGAGAAAGGGGAATCCTCTTCTATTGCTGGTGGGAATGTAACCTTGTACTGCTACTTTGGAAATCAATCTGGCACTTTCTCAGAAAATTAGAAATAGTGCTACCTCAAGGTCCAGCTATACCACTCTTAGGCATATACCCAAAAGGTGCCCCACCATTCAATAAGGACATTTTCTCAACTATGTTCTTATCAGCTTTATTTGTAAGAGCCAGAATCTGGAAACAGCCTAGATGTCCCTCAGTGGAGGAATGGATACATAAAGTGTGGTACTTTTACACAATGGAATACTACTCAGCAATTAAAAACCAGGAAATCATGAAATGTGCAGACAAATGGTAGGAACTAGAAAAGATCATCCCGAGTGAGGTAACCCAGAAGCAGGAAGACACATATGGTATATACCCACTTATAAGTGGATATTAGACATGATATATGATAAACATACTAAAATCTGTATACCTAAAGAAGCTAAACAAGAAGGAGGACCCTGGGGAAGAGGCTGAAACCTCACTCAGAAGGGCAAACAGGATAGACATCAGAAGTAGAAGACAAGGAACAGGACAGGAGCCTTCCACAGGGAACCTCTGAAAGACTCTACCCAAATCACTGGTTTGTTTTGTTTTGTTTGTGTAATTTTGAAATTATTATCACTTATTACAATTTATTCAATTTGTATCCTGGCTGTGTCTCCCTCCCTTATCTCCTCCAAACCCCACCTTCTCTTCCTCTTCTGCCTCTATGCCTCTCCCCTAGTCCACTCACAGGTGAGGTTTTTTTCTTCCCTTCTATTTGACCCTAGCCTATCAGGTCTTATCAGGATTGGTTGCATTGTCTTTCTCTGTGGCCTGGCAAGGCTTCACCCTCTTCCCACCTAGGGGGAGGTAATCAGAGAGCCTGTCACTGAGTTCATACCAGAGAAAACCCCTGCTCCCCTTTAGAGGAACCCAATTGGAGACTGAGTCTATGGGCTACATCTGGGTTGGAGATTTTGGGTCCTCTACATGCATTGTCCTTGGTTGGGGTATCAGTCTCTGCAGGGACCCCAGGGCACAGTTTTTTTTTTTTTTTTTTTTTTTTTTTTTTTGTTCTATTAGTCCCTTTTTTGGAGCTCCTGTCCCCTCCAGGTCTTTCTATCTCTCCCTTCTTTCGTAAGATTGCTTGCTCTCTGCCCAAAGTTTGGCTGAGTCTCTCAGCCTCTGTTTCAATACCTCCATCAGTAGTCTTGTTTGTTTGTTTTTGCTGTTGGTCAGCAATAAATATTATGGAGTACATTTTATTTTCTTTCCTTAAGTATTCTATATTTTACTGTTTGCTTCAGGCTTTTCTTGACCTTTTCCTTATTATTTATCACTTTACTGCTTTGATAGCTTTTTTCTGATTTTTTTTTTTTTGGCTTATTTTGTTCAGAACAGCAGTGCAACTCCGAGCCAACAGATGTTGAAGCAATCCTTACTTCTGATTTAGTCCACAGATGTGTTTAGTGCAGCAATCCTGCCTTCTGACTTTGGAAGCAAATATGCTGATATCTAAAGCTAGAAAAAAAATATCCTCTGTTACTTTAAAAATTCTTTTTCAGTCAGCAGTTGTGATACATGCCTTTAGTTCCAGTATTTGGGAGGCAGGCATTATCTCTGAGTCTGAGGCCAGCACATGGTCTACAGAATGAGTTCCAGGATAGCCAGGGATACACAGAGAAACCCTGTCTCAAAAAGCAAAAAACCAATAATAAATAAGTAAGTAAGTAAATAAATAAATAAATAAAATCTTTATATGTTCTTAAAAGAATTTGATTGGAATATTTTAAAATTCTTTTTGAAGGCATATTCCTTTTAGTTAAGTATTTTTTTTCAATAATGTTTAGAAACTTAGTTTGTGTTTCAGGTGTTAGTCAAGTTATCTTTTGGTATCAGTAGTTTTAAAGTTCAGTATGTAGATATATCTTATATTTTCAGATTCTGTGCACATGAATAAGTTTTTGAAATCCATGGTATTTACCCTCAAAGCCTCTCATAACTTGTGGTTTTTAGTGTCAGTAGAAAATAATACTTTGAAAATTTTTTACTCTAGCTTTTTATGTTAGAACTTTTGAAATATCTCTAAATTCTATTATGAACTACTAAATTATTTTATATAAATATAGGTTTGCCAAGCAGAACTTGAACTGGGGGCTTGTTTTCAAGCAGTGAATAGCAGGATTCAGCTGCAAATTCTTGAGGCACAATACCTTCCAACTTCTTCAACACCTCTCACTTTGAGTAAGTATATCAGTGGTTCAAAGTACACCCAATGTGAAGAGGGTGTAGGGTAAGAACAAAAGATCAGGGCATTAAAGTCTGCATTCTTCTCTGGATGTACAGCTAGGGACTGTGATATGTTGATGGGCCATGCTTACCTCATCTGGCCACCCCGAAAGCCGGAGGTTTGAGATCAACCCTACTTCAAGGGCTAAGAGCGGGAGGGAATTATTTGGGCAACCAAAAGAACTTGAACAACAACAACAACAAAAAAAAAGAGACTAAAATCATATAAAACTGAGCATTCAATTTAAGAAGTTAGAAAAATAACAAAAATAGGAGAGCTGAAGTTGATAAATACAGGTTAACAAAAAACAATAAAACTAAAAGCTTTATTTCTTTAAAAAATTAAAGGACTGTTAAAATAGGAACATTTGTAGGAGGTTGGAAGTAGAAAAAAACCATGATTGGTATTCTGAACAGTGAACAGTGAAGATTATATAATTTTAAGTTCAGAAGAAATTTCTAAGTCATGAATTTAGTAATATGTAAGACAATCTCATGTAGCAACCATATTAACTCATTTGCACATATATAGAAAACAAATGATTTCCTTAAAATTTTGATAAAGAAGAGGAAGAATCTGAAAAGAATAATAGCCATAAAAAACTCCTTGAAACACTAACCAGAGCTGAGAAGATGGCTCAGTTGTTAAAGTGCCTTCTATACAAACATTAGTACCTGAATTTTGATCCCTCAGACCCATATAGAAATCTGGGTATGGTTATGCATCTTGTAATCTTGAGGGGATGGAGAGGAGTTTGCTGGTCAGCTTGTCTAGTCAATCAGTGACTGCCATATTCAGTGAGATACCTTGTCTCAAAAGATGAGAATGACTGAGGAGGAGGGTATCCAGTGTTTACCTCCCGCCTTTACACATGTATGTATTCCCATACCTACATGGATACAGTAACTTACATACACTCATAAGATAGTATCTTTGTTTTTTTTTTTTTAACCTGACATAAGAGAGACTTTCAATTGATAAAAATGCTTCCATAAGATTTGGCTACAGTTGATATGGAGGGAAAACCCAGCTCAGTGTGGTAGGCGTCATCCCCAGAGCCTTGGTTCTCAACCTTCCTAATGCTGTGACCCTGGAATACAGTTCCTCATGTTGTGATGACCTCCAACCATAGATTATTTTGTTGCTACTTTAGAAGTTTGCCATTGCTATGAATTGTAATGTAAATATTTTTGTAGACAGAGGTTTACTAAAGGGGGTGTGACCCATAGGCTGAGAACCACTGTCCTGGAGTGTGTAAGAAAGCAGGCTAAACTCCTGATGAGACCTAATTGACTAGGATCAGGAGGAAAGAAAAGAAGACCTCCCCTATCAGTGGACTTGGGGAGGGGCATGTGTGCAGAGGGGAGAGGAAGGGGGGGATTGGGACGGGAGGAGGGAGGGAACCACAGGGGGGATACAAAGTGAATAAAGTGTAATTAATAAAGAAAAAAAAAAAGAAAGCAGGCTAAGCATGCTGTTGGGGCATGCCTGTAAGCAGCACTCCTCCATGGCCTCCACCTGCTTCCAGGTTCCTGCTTTCAGTTTTCTGCCTTGACTTCCCTCAGTGATGAAGTGTTTTCTTGGAGTTGTAAGCTGGAATAAGCATTTCCTCCCCAAGTTGCTTTGGTCATGGTGTTTTATATACATCAATGGAAACTCTAACTAAGAGAGATAACATTTTACTGCTTTATAGGCCAAGAGAACTTTACTGGCAGATTCTACCAAACCACTGAAGAACATGCAATTCCTATTTAACATAAGCTTTTCGGAAGCATGGGAAAATAGTTTTATATTAGTGTACTCTTGATATTAAAACAGTGAATAGCTCATAAAAGCAACTAAATTAGTAGCAATTTTGTAGAGAGGTGGAGAATTCTAAAATAAAAATAAGTAAATAAAATCCAAGTTAGAAAAATAAGACATCAAGATTATATCTAGTTAATTCTATGAAACAGAAAAAAAAATAGTGGATGTTTATACAGATGTAATATATAAATAGATGGCTTCATTTACGCAAAACTACCACTCAGGACTACTAAAGATGAGCATTTTATAATCTGATAGTCAGATCTTATTCCTCATCCTGGGCTTCCCCCTTTCTGACAGTTTCCTCTTTCCTTTCTTACTGCCTTTTGCCCCAGTTTTATTAACTGACTCCTCACAGTAGCCTGACAGCAGTTGCTGCTTGAGCTATAGTCATTGTGTACCACACTGAAAATATACTTAGGTGAAAAGATACATTATCCATAATTTTATCCAGTGCAGTTCTTAAGTTGATACTTTGCTGCCAACTTCTTCAATACCCCCTTCTCTCTTTTGGTTTAAAAAATAGAAATTTCTGGGACAGCTCACTCAGGATGAGCCTTTCCAGGTCCCACCATTTACCTGCAAATTTCATAATTTCCTTATTTTTCATTGCTGAGTAACATTTCATTGTGTTGATGTACCAAAATTTCTGCATCCATTCTTCAGTTGAGGGGCATCTGGGCTGTTTCCAGCTTCTGGCTATTACAAATAAAGCTGCTACAAACATGGCTGAGCAAATGTCCTTATTGTATACTTGAGCTCCTTTTGGATATATGCCTAAGAGTGGTATGGCTGGATCTTGAGGAAGCGCTATTCCTAGTTGTCTGAGAAAGCGCCAGATTGGTTTCCAGAGTGGTTGTACAAGTTTACTTCCCACCAGCAGTGGAGGAGGGTTCCCCTTTCTCCACAACCTCTCCAGCATGTGTTGTCACTTGAGTTTTTTATTTTGGCCATTCTGATGGGTGTAAGGTGAAATCTCAGGGTCGTTTTGATTTGCATTTCCCTAATGGCTAACCTAGAACCCCTGCAAAGATGTAGCCCATGGCAGTTTAGTGTCCAAGTGGGTTACATAGTAATGGGAAGAGGGACTGCCTCTGACATAATCTGATTGGCTTGCTCTTTGATCACCTCCCCCTGAGGGGAGAGCAGCCTTACCAGGCCACAGAAGATGACAATGCAGCCGCTCCTGATGTGATCTGATAGACTAAGATCAGAAGGAAGGAGAGGAGGACTGCCCCTATCAGTGGACTTGGGGAGGGGCATGCGTGAAGAAGGGGGAGGGAGGGTGGGATCGAGAGGGGAGAAGGGAGGGGCTTATGGGGGGATACAAAGTGAATAAAGTGTAATTAATAAAAAAACTAATAATAATTTATTTTCTCAAAGTTCTAAAGACCGAACGGTTCAATATTAAGAGCCAGAAGAGTTGGTTTTGGGGGGTATCTTTACTTTTTTTTTTTTTTTGTATTTTTACTAAAGTTCATAATTGTTATCTTTGGTTATAATTCATATAAACTATTTTATTATCATTGGAAATGCTAGATCTCAAATTTACTTAAAAATGTTTACTTGTTTTGTTCTAGTGCACATATACCTATGACATCACAAGGAAAGAAATTTACCTATGAAACTGTGAAATAGATACCACTAGCTGTCTGGAGAATTGACACGTTTCTTGATGTAGTTCTTTTCAATGTGTTTTCCTTTGCAATAACCCAAGACCCAGAAGACCCAATAACAATAACCCAGAAGACCTTCAAGTTGATTATATTTTGATAATAATCAGTGTATAGATAAAAATCTTTACGCAGTATTTCACATAAATTTTATAGACTACGGTTTCTTGCATCCTAGGTTTTTTTGTGAAGGTGGGGATGTTTAGCTCAGGAGAGCTCGTTTATAAGAAGAAGACGCGCTTGCTGAAGGCTTCCAGTGGAAGAGTAAAATGGGGAGAAACTATGATTTTTCCACTTACACAGACTGAAAAAGAAATTGTTTTCCTCATTAAACTTTATAGTCGAAGCTCTGTAAGAAGAAAACATTTTATAGGCCAGGTTAGTAAGTGTTTTTTTAAAAATTTCTTTCTGGTAAGTCTCTGTGTGTTACTATGAAGTTAATTAGCAAAGAAAAGAAGATAAAATTAAGAATGAATATAGGAAGATTCTTCAACATTCTAAATTAAAATTCAGTGTTGCCTCAGAATCAAATTTTGTCATATAATAGGTAACATTTCTGAGCAGTCAGGCTTATTTCTTAAGCCTTTTGAACTTTTCAACTTTAAAATATAAAATTCAGTAGAAGTTTGTAAATCAAACTTAAGACTTTGAGTATAACATTTATTTTATCTTGGTTCATCTTTAATTTTGTATTTAAAAGGGGCCTTTTATAGATTTTACTAATTTAGTTAGAGTAGATTTTAATTTCTAGAAAATGTTGATTTTTAATAGTGTTTGTGATATTGTTTGGATAGCCTATTTTACTATCTGAATTAAATAAAATTCTGAGTAATTTGTATAGGGCTACGTAACATTTAAACCTATATAATCTTTCTTTTTATGTCTTCTTTCCTTTTATTTGTGGCAGCTATTTGTTATCTTTTTATCTTAATTAGAACTGTGTGCCACATTTAAATCTTGAAGTCTTTAACTGATGTAAGAGCTTTCACTTGACAACTACTATGCACAGTCTATGCGAGATTTTCAGATTGTGTATATGAATTTTCAAAGATTTGTATCAACTTTCATTTTATATAATTAGATTGCTAACTTAAAAAGTGTTTTAGCTTTCTGTATTCTTATTTGGAGAGCAGTTTGAGTTAAAGAATTCATGTAAATTTAATTTGAGAGATGATTTCCACGATAAGTTTGGAGACCTTCTTTGGTGCCTCAGGTATCAGGTATATGTGGATTCAAGTTCTCCCACTCTATCACCCAAATACTGTAATGTTATCAGGGTTATGTATTGGAGTCAGTGTGAGATGTTGTTTGGAGGAAAGTTTTTTTTAGGCCAAGATAGAAAAAGAATTGAAAACCAGTGACTTACTCCAGTCTCTTAGAAGAATTAGAAACTGGGACTCAGGTAAGTTGATTCCAAAGTTGCAGCATTTGTAAGTGTGATAGCCAAGACAGAGATTCAAGTGTTTTAAATTGTTCACCTTGTTTCCAAGTTATATACACATTATGGATTAAGAATGATTACTTTTTAGATTTCAATTAAGATTATAGTTTCATTTAATGTAAGAGGTACATAAATTAAATGTACATTTCTTTTTAGGTAAAAAACAAAACAAAACAAAACATTGTTTGCCTCAGTTTAGAAATCTTAGAAAAAAATTTTTGAATAATAAGGATCAATTGTAGTTGAACTCCTAGATTATTTGAACAAGAAAGAATACATACAAAGTGATTTTTAAAATAATACTTCATTTTCAATTATTTTTTTAAATTTATTTATTTATTTATTCACTTTACATCGAGAACACAGCCCCCTCTGTCCTCTCCTCCTGGTCACACTCTTCCATCCTCTTCCTTTCTCTTCCCTCCCCTTCTCAGAGAAGGGGAGCCCAACCCATCAACCCTCTCCCAGCACTTCAAGTCACATCAGAATTGGAACACATCCTCTTCCGCTGAGGCTAGGCAAAGCAGCTCCGCTAGTGATCCAAAAGCAGGCATGTTAGAAACAGCACCAGTTCCACTTACTAAGGAGCCTACATAAAGGCCAAGGTACCATTGGTTGCACATGTGTGAGGAACCTAGGTCCAGGCTATGCATGCTTTTTAGTTGGTGCTGCATTCTCTGTAAGCCCTTTTGAGCCTGGGTTAGTTGTCTCTGTTGGTATTCTTGTGGAGTTCTTAACCCCTTTGGGTCCTTCCTCCCACCACTTTTTTTTTTCACATTATATTTTTTTAATTTATTACAACTGAGCTCTGCCTTGTGTTTGGCTGTGAGTCTCAGAATCTATTTCGATGCACTGCTGGGTGAAGCATCTCTCTCAGATGATAGTTATGCTAGGCTTCTCTCTGTAAGCATAGCAGAGTTCCATTAATACTGTCAGGGGTTGGCTCTCTATTGTGGGGTGGGTCTCTGGTTGGACATTCCCTCAGTCTCTGTTCCCTCTTTGTCCCTGCACTTCTTGTAGGCAGAGCAAATTTGGGATCAAAGCTTTTGTGGGTGGGTTGGTATTCCCCTTTCCCCACTAGGAATCCTGCCTGGCTAGAAGGTGGCCTCTTCAGTCTCCATGTCCTCCCTCCCAACCCCCAGTCTTAGCTAGAGTCGTCCTCATATCCTCCCAGGAGCCTACCCTGTTACAGGTCTTTAGCTTGTCTCAGAGATGCCCTCCCCTTGATCCCTTCTCTTTCCCTGCCCTCTCACCTCCTGCCCCCACTCTACCCACAACAAATCCCCATCCTTAGGTCCCTCCCCACACCACTCCTACCATTTTCCCTCTCTTCATCCACTTCCGCTGTCTATTCTATTTTATTCTATTCTGGTGTATATTCTGTTTCCCCTTCTGAGTGAGATTCAAGCAGCCTCCTTTGGGCCCTCCTTGTTACTTAGTTTCTGTGGCTCTGTGGATTGTAAGTATGGTTATCCTGTATTATATGACTAATAGCCACTTATAAGTGAGTATATATCATGTGTGTCTTTCTGGGTCTGTGATACCTCACTCAGGATGATCATTTTTAGTTCTATCCATTTGCCTGCCATTTTCATGGTTTCCTTGTTTTTAATAGCTGAATAGTATTCCATTGTGTAAATGTATCACATTTTCTTTATCCATTCTTCAGTTGAGGAGCATCTAGGTTGTTTCCAGGTTCTGGCTATTACGAATAAAGCTGTTATGTACATAGTTGAGCAAATGTCCTTGTGGTGTGGTGGAATATCTTTTGAGTATATACTCAGGAGTGGTATAGCTGGATCTTGAGGTAGAACTATTCCCAATGTTCTGAGAAAGCGTCGGCTTGATTTCCAGAGTGGTTGTTCAAGGTTGCATTCCCGCCAGCAATGAAGGAATGTTTCTCTTTCTCCACAACCTCACCTGAGTTTTTGATCTTAGGCATTCTGAGGGATATAAGATGGAATCTCAGAGTTGTTCTGATTTGCATTTTTCTTATGACTAAGGACGTTGAACATTTTTTAAATTTAATTTTATTTATATATTTATTTATTACAATTTATTCACTTTGTAGCTTCTCATGCAGCCCCCTCCCTCCTCTTCTCCCTCTATGCCCTTTCCCTAGTCCTCTGATAGGGGGAGAACCTTCTCCCCTTCTATCTGACCCTAGCTTATCTCTTAAGTCTCCTCAAGACTGGCTGCATCATCTTCCTCTGTGGCCTGGCAAGCTGCATCCTCCAAGGGGTTGGTGATCAGAGAGCCTGCCACTGAGTTCATGTCAGGGACAGCTCCTGTACGCCTTACTAGGGTACTTGGAAACTGAGCTACCTATGGGCTTCCTTTGAACAGGGGGTCTAGGTTTTCCTCTCCGTGTATGGTCTAAGCTTAGTTTAGAGTATTGGTCTCTGCAGGATGCCCTGGGCCCAGGTATTTTGGCTCTGTTGTTCTCCTTGTGGAGTTCCTGTCCCCTCCAGGTCTTTCTGTATCCCTCTTCTTCCATAATGTTGGTAGGTAGAATCTTTCAGAGGTCCTCTGTGGAAGGCTCCTGTCCTGTTCCTTGTGTTTTCCTACTTCTGATGTGTATCCTGTTTGCCCTTCTGAATGAGGATTAAGCATCTTCCCTAGGGTCCTCCTTGTTCTTTAGCTGCTCTTTTTTCTTCCATTTTATGTTTTTGGCTTCTTTGTCAAAAATCAAATGCTATAGGAGTGTGGATTTATTTCTGGGTCTTCAATTTGATTTCATTGATCAATCTGTTTCTACGCCAATACCATGCAGCTTTTGTTATTATTCCTCTGTAGTTCAGATTGAAGTCAAGGATGGAGACACCTCCAGAAGTTTCTTTCTTTCTTTTTTCATTGTACAGAATTCTTGTTGCTGTCCTGGGTCTTTATTTTTCCACATGAGGTTGAATTGTGTTAGAATTTTGGTCGTAAATGCATTGAATCTGTAGATGGTTTCTGGTAAGATGGTCATTTTGACTAGGCTAATCCTACCAATCCATGAGCATGGGAAATCATTCCATCTTCTAAAATGTTCTTTGGTTCCTTTTTTCAAAGACTTAAAGTTCTTGCCATGTAGGTTTTTCACTTGCTTGGTTAGAATTATGCCAAGATATTTTATATTATTTGTGGCTATTGTGAAGGGTGTTGTTTCTCTAATTTCTTTCTCAGCATGTTTATCACTTGTATACTTTTTTTGAGTCAGTTTTATATCCAGACACCTTGCTGCAGATGTTTTATCAGCTGTAGAAATTCTCTGGTAGAAATTTGGGGGTTACTTATGTATACTAGCATATCATCTGCAAAAAGCTATGCTTTGACTTCTTCTTTTCCTATTTGTATCCCCTTGATCTCCTTTACTTGTCTTATTGCTCTAGCTAGAACTTCAAGCAGTATACTGAAGAGACTTGGAAAGAGTAGGCAGCCTTGTCTTTTCTCTGATTTTAGTGGGATTGTTTTAAGTTTCTTTTCATTTAACTTGATGTTGGCTATTGGCTTGCTGTATATTGCCTTTATTGTGTTTAGGTATGCACCTTGAATTCCTTAATCTCTCTAAGACTTTAAACATGAAGGGTTGTTGGAATTTTGTCAAATGCTTTTTCAGCATCTAATGAGATGATCATATGTTTTTTTTTCTTTTAGTTTGTTTATATGGTGGATTATTGATGGGATTTCATATGTTGGACCATCCCTGTATCCCTGGGATGAAGCCTACTTGGTCATAGTGGATGATATTTTTAATGTGTCCCTGGATTTCGTTTGCACAAATTTTATTGAGTATTTTTGCATCAGTGTTCATAAGGAAGAACAATTCCTTATGTCTGAAGTTCTCTTTCTTTGTTGAATCTCTGTGTGGTCTAGGTAACAGGGTAACTGTGACCTCAGAATGAGTTTGACAATGTTCCTTCTGTTTCTGTTTTTTTTTTTTTTTGTTTGTTTTGTTTTGTTTTGTTTTGTTTCACAAATATAATAGTTTCACAAATATTGATATTAGCTCTTCTTTCAAAGTTTGGTAAAATTCTGCACTGAAACCATCTGGCCCTGGGCCATTTTTGGTTAGGAGCTTTTAAATGACTACTTCTATGTATTAGCTCTTTTTTAAAAAAATTTATTAATTTTTAATTTTTTTTGAATTCTTTTTTTTATTTATTTAAGGAGGTGAACATGTTAAATATTTTAACTTAATAAGCACTCATTAAGTACATGGATCAAATCACCATACCCCACAACTATGTACAATTAAAATAGTAATTAGTTTTTAAGGTTAAAGGAAAGCAACACAGTGATAAATGAGTAAAAATTATTTTATTCAGAAATCTGAATTCTTTGATGACAAAAATTTTACACTTGCTTGAAATATAGGAATTCTCTTTTTAGTCATTGGCAGAATGTCACTTATTGGATGCCACCTTCCATTGTTCTGTGATGATCTGCTATACAGTAGTGAATTACTTTCAAATTTCATAGCAAATATAGTTTATAATTACCCCCAATTCACTGTAGCACAGAAAGAGACATATTAGACTAAAAAAAAAAAAAGACATTTCTGGACTTCGTATGGAAAAACCTGCTCTTTCTAGGTCTTACTGAGCACAGAAGGTCGGAGCTAATGGGTATGGTGACAACGACATTGTTTAGTTTAATGTGAAAACTAAACTGAAACTGTATCAGTTGTTCAGTTTTCAAACAATGTGTTCTTTTTTCCCTTTAGCAAAACCAATAATACATGTGCTTCTGAAAATTCTGTTATTTAAAACTGTAAATAAGTCATTAAGTACAAATCATCGATATTTATTTATTTCAGTATTTCAATTGAGAGAATTACCAGTCTAGATTGAGTTTTATAAGTTTATCTTGGAGTTTTGGTCTCAATTAGCCTCGTGTGCTGAGATTGGCCTGCACCCATAAATATGCTTGCTCTGAACATGAAGCTTAGCTGTGCTGTTTACTGTTTCCAGTAAATCACACTCCAATGAAATACCAAGAGATATTTTCACACTTTATACAGCTAACTGATGAAATTATTCTTTAATTTAATTTTTTCTTTATTAATTACACTTTACTCACTTTGCATCACCCCCCCCCCGTGGTTCCCTCCCTCCTCCCATCCCAATCCCTCCCTTCCTCCACCCTCTGCATGCATGCCCCTCCCCAAGTCCACTGATAGGGGAGGACTTCTTTTCTTTCCTTCTGATCCTAGTCAATTAGGTCTCATCAAATAAATTACAGTTTATTCACTTTGTATCCCTGCTGTAGCCCCCTCCCTCATGCCCTCTCAATCCCCTCTCCCCCCCTCATTTCTTCCCATGCCCCTCCCCAAGTCCACTGATAGGGGAGGTTCTCTTCCCAGTCCCTCTGACCCCAAGCCTATCAGGTCTCATCAGGACTGGCTGCATTGTCTTCCTCTCAGACTGCTCCCCCCTAAGGGGGAGGTGATCAAAGAGCCAGCCACTGAGTTCATGTCAGAGGTAGTCCCTGTTCCCCTTACTAGGGAACTCACTTGGAGTCTGAGCTACCTTGGGCTACATCTGTGCAGGAGTTCTAGGGGTTCTAGGTTATCTCCATGCATGGTCCTTGGTTGGAGTATAAGTCTCAGAAAAGACCCCTGTGCCCAGATTTTTTGGATCTGTTGCTCTCCTTGTGGAGCTCCTGTCCCTTCCAGGTCTTCCTATCTCCCCCTTCTTTCCTAAGATTTTCTGCACTCTGCCCAAAGTTTAGCTATGAGTCTCAGCGTCTCTTTCTATACCTTGCTGGGTAGAATCTTTCAATGGCCTGTATTAGCTCTTCTTCCAAAGTCTGGTAAAATTCTGTGAGGAAACCACTTGGCCCTGGGCTGTTTTTGGTTGGGAGTTTTTTTTTTAATGACTACTTCTATGTCCTTAGAGCTTATAGTTTCATTTAAATTGTTTACCAGATCTTGATTTAACTTTGGTAAGTGGTATCGATCAAGAAAATCATCCATTTCATTTAGGTTTTCTTATTTTTTGTCATACAGGTTTTTGAAGTAAGATCTAATGATTTTTTGGGTTTCCTCAGTGTCTGTTGTTATGTCCCCCTTTTCATTTCTGATTTTTTTAATTTGAATACTCTCCCTCTGCCTTTTTATTTGGCTAACAGTTTTTTGTTTGTTTGTTTGTTATTTTTGTTTTATCTTGTTGATTTTCTCAAAAAACCAACTGTTGGTTTTGTTGATTTTTTTAATTGTCCTCTTTGTTTCTAGTTTATTGATTTCAGCCCAGAGTTTGATTATTTCTTTTTTGTCTACTCTTGGGTGTGTTTGCTTCTTTTTGTTCTAGAGCTTTCAGGTGTACTAATATGAGATTTCTTCAGTTTCTTTAGTGCTTTCCTCTTAGCACTGCTTTTATTTTATCCCATAAGTTTGGGTATGTTATGTCTTCATTTTCATTGAATTCTAGAGAGTCTTTAATTTCTTTATTTTTTTTTTCCCTGACCCACTGGTCATTGAGTAGAGAGTTGTTCAGTTTCCATGAATTTGTAGGCATTCTTTTGTTTCTGTTTTTGTTGAAGTCCCACTTTAATTCAAGATTAAATTAAACTCCTGTATCTGCTTCAACTTTCTTGTTGAGGCATACTTTGTAACTGAGTATGTGGTCAGTTTTAGAAAGAGATTCCGTGGGATGCTGGGAAGAAGGTATATGTTGTTTTGTTTGGATGGAATGTTCCGTAGATATCTGTTAGGTCCAGGTGACCCATAACATAACTTAGTTTCGTTATTTCTCTGTTTAGTTTCTGTCTTGATGATCTGTCCTTTGGTGAGGCAGGGGTGTCCCACTATTAGTATGTTGGGTTTGATGTGTGATTTAAGCTTTAATAATGTTGTCTTTACGAATGTGGGTACCCTTGCTTTGGGGCATATATGTTCAGAATCGAGACATCGTCTTGGTGGATTTTTTTCTTTGATGCATATGAAGTCCCCTTCCTCATCTCCTGATTAATTTTGGTTGAAAGTCTATTTTATTAAATATTTGAATAGCTACTCCAGCTTGCTTCTTGTTTCTGTTTGCTTGGAAAACCTTTTTCCAGCTCCTTACTCTGAGGTAATGTTTATCCTTGTTGCTGAGATGTTTGTTTTATGAAACAGAATTATGGATCCTGTTTTCACAACCATTTTAGCTTGCGTCTTTTTATTGGTTAATTGAGACCGCTGATGCTGAGATATTTTGAGGTAGTAATGGTCAGAGATTATTAGTTCCTGGTATTTTGATGTTGGTGTTGTTAGTGTTTGTGTGTGTGTGTGTGTGTGTGAGAGAGAGAGAGAGAGAGAGAGAGAGAGTGCTTCCTTTTGTTTTTGCTGGTGTGGAATTACTTATTTCCTATGTTTTTTTGGATGTCGTTACCCTCATTGGGATAGAGTTTTTCTTCTAGTATTTTCTGTAGGGTTTGATTTGTGGATAGATACTGTTTAAATTTTGTTTTGTCTTAGAATATCTTATTTTCTCCATCTATGGTGATTGAGAGTTTTGCTGAGTATAGTACTCTGGGCTGACATCTCTGATCTTTTAGGTATCTTTTTTGCCCGAGATTCTCTCTTCCATCACTTAGATTCTGTTGGAGATGTTTGTGTCTGTTATTCCTGTTCTCTTCCCTAGATGGTCAGTCTCCAGGATTCATTCAGATTGTGTTTTCTTTATTGCCTCTAATTCCATTTTCAGGTCTTGGACAGTTTTATTTCTTTCACCTGTTTGTATTTTCCTGTATTTCTTTAAGGGATTTATTCATTTCTTTTTTAAAGGCCTCCATAATATTCATGAGACAAGATTCAAGGTCAGTTTCTTGTTCCTCAGCTGTGTTAAGATATCCTGGGCTTGTTGTAGTATGATAGTTGGGTTCTGTTGTTACCAAATTGCCCAGGCTCTTGTTATTTGTGTGTATGTGATGGCCTTTAGTCATCTGGTTGTCTCTGATATTGGATTGTGGCCTCTGGGGTCTGCTAGCTTCAGAGAATGCATGTAGGTATGAGGTCCAGTAGAGGAGCATGTAGGAAGCTGGGTGTAGCTCACCACTGCTGTGTTTGCCAAGAGGCCTGGTGCAAGCAGGGGGCTGTTGTGTAGAGGTCTCACCCGTCTTCCTCAGGAAGCCTATTTTTAATTCTTTTTTTTTCATTTTTAATTCTTAAATTGAATTGGATCACATAATACAGAATGATTCAGCAGGTTAAATATTTTAACATTTAAGGGTTAAATCATCAAGCAACTTTAAAAAAATTAATGATATTTATTTAAAAATGTTATCCAGATGTTTAACAATATGTTTGTTAAAAGTTAAAAGGTATGTTATCCATGACAATAAGAGATATTGCTTAAACATGGCTACTAAGATGTCAAGTTGAAATGATTGTACTGTTTCTTTACAGCTCTGGATAAGTGAAGACAGCAATAATATTGAAGCAGTGAACCAATGGAAAGAGACAATTTCAAATCCTGAAAAGGTTGTTATCAAGTGGCACAAGTTAAATCCATCTTGAAGACATCAGGCATTAATTTAGTGACGAAACAGCTTGACATTTTAGTAGAAGAAACATAATTTCTAAAACTTATAATGAGTTCTATCAGATACACAAAGTGAATGAAATGTTTTAAAATGGTGCCAAAATAGATGATAAAATAAAAGGGTAGTATTATTAGGCCAATTAAATATATTACAAAAATCTATGAAAATATCAATCCTAGGTAAATATTTCAATATTGGTTCTGCTTTTGTTTTTAAGATATCAAAAACCTAGCACAGCAATCCCTCTTAGTACTACTACTAGACATTTATAAAACTGTAGTACTTTTACAGTGCTAGGCATGATTGATTAGATCGTTACACAATTTATATCTTTATATGAATTTTTTACAGCACAAATGAATAGGTCAATTCCATTGACTTTTTTTCTGTATTTGAGAAAAATTGGTACCCTGTACCTACAATTTTTTTTATTTATAAGTCATTGCATGATCACTTTATAAGCTGTTTATCTCTAGAAGAATTAGAGACTTATTAACATTTTTCCAGGAATAATAAAGCTTGGAACTAGCAGGATGGCTCGGGAGTAAATGAGCTTGTCACTCTTCTTGATCATCTGAGTTCCGTTCCTGGAACTCAACAAAATGGAAGGGGAAAATCCATTTCCTTTAGTTTCTTTACTGACATCCACATCCATACTTTGGCAAACACACACACACACACACACACACACACACACACACACAAATAAGTAAACAAATAAATACACATAAATAAGCAAATGTCTTTTAAAAATCAATAAAGTTTAATTGAAAGCAAAAATATATACCTTTTGTTTTCCTTATTTTTTCTTTATTTTCTTTTGAGTTAAAAGAAAATATTTTACTTTTGAGCCAACTTAATTTAGCAAAATTAAATGAGCTTAAATAGTAAATTCAGTATTTTATGATCACTAGTTCTTTCAGTTTTTGATGTAAGCTATTTGCTCTCTAATCTACAATGTTAAAGCATTTTCCCCATTTTAATTACCATACTATGTAGCAATGTATAAAATGCAAATATTTTTCTACTTAAGGTTTATTTCAGGTACATATTAGAACTTAGCATCTGGAAATTATTTCTTCTTGGATCACCACAAGAGTTGTGGCTAAAACAAAACAAAAAAAATTTAGGAAGAAGCAAGAACACTTTCTAATCTTATAAATAGTATAGTTTAGGCCTTATTATATACCTTATTATAATGTAGGAATAACCTTTGTAATTCTTCATAGTCTAGATATCTCATTAGAATCTAAATAGAACTGTTATATAGGTATTTTCTAGATTTTTATGGTACCAGTGGTATTGATCAGATTTCTTTGCCACTGTGAATTTTGAAGTAATATTTTCAGACTTGTAAAATATAAAGTACTGGTCAATTTTCATATGCTCTTCTAGGAGAAACCATTTTTTGTGTTAGTGATAGTCTTTTGAACATTGAGATTTTTACTTTCTTTTAGTTTAATTTGTTTGTTTAATAGATTTTACTTTTTTCTTTTAAAAAAATTGTTTTTTTAATTACACTTTATTCACTTTGTACCCAGCTGTAGCCCCTTCCACTCTTGCCCTCCCTCCTCCTTCTCCTCCATGTCCCTCTGGCAGTCCACTGATAGGGGAGGTCCTTCTCCCTTTCCATCTGACTCTAGCCTATCAGGCCTCATCAGAACTGGCTGCATTGTCTTCCTCTGTGGCCTGGTGAGGCTGCTCCCCCCTAAGGGGTAGGTGGTCAAAGAGCCATCCACTGAATTCATGTCAGAGACAGCCCCTGTTCCTCTTACTAGGAAACCCACTTGGACACTGAGCTGCCATGGGCTACATTTGTGCAGGGGTTCTAGGTTATCTCCATGCATGGTTCTTGGTTGGAGTATCAGTCTCAGAAAAGACCCTTGGGCCCAGATTTTTTGGTTCTGTTGCTCTCCTTCTGGAGCTCCTGTCCCCTCCAGGTCTTTCATCTTCCTCTTCTTTCATAAGATTCCCTATACTCTGCCCAAAGTTTGGCTGAGTCTCAGCATCTGCTTTGATGTAGAGTCTTTCCAAGGCCCTCTGAGATGATCAATCCTCATTCAGAAAGGCAAATCGATGGACATCAGAAGTGGGAGAAAACAGGGAACACAGAGGAGCCTAGATTTAACATTTTAAAGTGGGCACAGAAATTTTCTACTTGTAATCTTCCATTCTCAGCACAGGCATAGTTTCTGCACCATCAACAGCCTACATCCAAGTAAGACGTTTGTCAGAATTGATCAGCCTTTATCAACACATCACAGGCTTTGTTCTTTTTTTTTAAACTAGATTTTAATTTTCTGTTAAAATTAAAACTTTTCTGTGTTCTACTAATTTTAATTCTAAATTTTATACATGTCATATATTTAATTCAGTTTTAATGATCTAATTATTAATTTTAAAGCAAATAGTTAATATAAAAATTGAGGAAAAGATAGGCTTTCTTAGTTTATCACACTCCTAGATATCTTAGATAAATCAATACAAAGAAAACTTCGTTTAAAAGAACCCTCACGTATAAAATATTAAGAGGTGAAGCTTCTAATATTTTAATCATGTTTATTTAAGCATTTTTCAGTTGAAGATGTACTCAGTGTAAACATGTGTGTTTATTATGTCCTTGAAAATTTTATGTGCAAATGTAGATGCAAACACCCTTGTGTTAATAGGCACTCTTGGAGAGAAAAACAATTCGGAGCCAACAATAAAAACTAAAGCACCATGCAAAAATCATTTCTCTCTGTATTTGTGTAGGCTTTTCTTGACCTTTACTCACTTGTAACAAGAAAAAAAAAAAAAAAAAAAAAAACTAAAATAATGCTGGGAAGCCAGATTGAAACAAAGGAAACTTCATAATAGGAGGGAGATCAGTCATTTATAAACTCTGTCATTTATAAAATGTATTTATAAACTATCAGATAACACAGAAAGTTTTAGCCCATGTCAAAATATAGCATCATTATTTGGATTGATTTAGTTTTGCACAATGCTATTCTCTTAACAGTGGTTGTTCTTTTTCTTTTCCTTCCTAACGATCTTTTTCTTTCTTTTCTTTTTTAAATGAATTGGAGTTGTTTACTTCCAAGCTTGGTCAAACATCCTTAATTTCTTGGTATAATAAACATATTTCAATTCAAATAGTAACTTTGAATGCTATGCAGAAGAACAGAAGTAATATGTTCGGCAATTAATTTGCTCAATTTCATACAAGCAACATAACTATTTATGAAAAAATACTGACCAAATTGTAGATATTAAATACTAAATAAATTATTATGATTTAGTCTATTTAACAATCAAGAAAATTCCAAGCCATCCTCAACTCCAGTGGCAATTTCAGATGCAGTTTGGAGGTCAGGAATTTTGATGGAGCTGTTAGTGTAGCAGACCTTGTAGGTAAAATATATGTATCTTTTAGTAACACATGTGAAGAATTCTCTAAAATTAACCTCACTGGTTTCATTCTCAGCAGACTGACCTTGCACACTCAGCATGGCCTTTATTTTCATGATATTAGTACCTGTTCTATTTTTTACAATAAGTTCATGACCACCTGAAGGTATTCACTTGATATACCTGGCATTAAGGCCTCCACAATCACCATAGGCTTTCTCCTCCATCCATTATGTTATTATAAAATATTATTTTGATCCCATAAGAACTTTGTTAGTTTCTCTTTCATATTCTGGGGCACTGGAAGGAATAACTTGAGCCAGACTATGGCTGCTTTTTGCAACAGGAAAAAGATTAGTCAACAATGGATTTATGAATTCTCAGATAACAGAAAGTTACAGCCCATGTCAAAATATAGCATTATTATTTGGCATTCATTTAGTTTTACATGATTTTTAAAGCAGGAATCATAAAAATGACCCAAGTATATTAATTCCAACTCTTACCAGACTGTTGAGAAGAAACCACTGGGATTTTTGAACATATGTAATTATGGTCTAAAAATAAACTAACCCAAAGTTCTATTTAAATGTAACTTTTCAAATTTCTTTTTTTTCTTTGATACTACTAAACTTATCAGCCATTTGGAAACTGTTTTTCAGCCAAAATTTTACTTGTTTATATGTTCAAATATTTGTACATGTATAAAAATTTTTAAATTTGGAATAAATTCAGACTTTTTTACTATAATAGTAATGGCCTGAATTTCTTTTTTTTTAAATAAATTTATTTATTTGCTTATTTGCTTGTTTGTTTATTATAATTTATTCACTTTGTATCCCCACTGCAGCGCCCTCCCTGATCTCCTCCCAGTCCCACCCACCTTCCCTCTTCTCCCCCTATGCCCTTTCCTAGTCCCCTGATAGGGGATGACCTCCTCCCCTTACATCTGACCCTAGCTTATCAGGTCTCATCAAGGCTGGCTGCATCATCTTCCTCTGTGGCCTGGCAAGGCTGTGTCCCACAGGGGGAAGTGATCCAATGCAGGCCACTGAGTTCATGTCAGAGACAACCCCTGTACCTCTTACTAGGGAACCCACTTGGAGACTGAGCAGCCTATGGGCTTCCTATGAACAGGGGGTCAAGGTCCTCTCCATGCATGGTCCTTCATTGGAGTTGGTCTCTGCAGGTCTCCAGGTGAAGAAGTTGGCCTGAATTTCTCTGCTTGGTCTCATACTAACTTTGGCAATATTTTCTAATCCTCTAACTTTTTCCCAGTCTTTGGCTTGTTCTATCTTTACCTGTCTGTAGCCTGTCTTTGTAAAAATGACACACACACACACACACACACACACACACACACACACACACAGCCTCTCTCTCAGTGTGTCTGTCTCCCTCTCTCTGTTTCTGTGTCTCTCTATCTCTGTGTCTCTCTTGCCTCTTAACTTGCCTGTCTTTCCTGTGCTGTTCCTTGTTCTTGTGTGAGTTAGGAGTTAGGCTTATCCTCTTTCTGACTCATTTTGTCAAATCTTTCTCTGATTTCTCACTTTTGTCTACCCCTCAATTAGACATCATTTTCAAACATGGCTGCTTCCTTCCACAAACTAACCTTACCTTCATTGTTAGGAATTAAAGGTGTGTACTAAGAGAGTGTCTATATTCCAGCCATACGTGTCTGCATTCTGGATCATAAAGACCTAGAAAGCCTTTGGATTGATTCCTTGACAGAGCAGCCATGTTGCTGGATTGAAATTCCTTTACATTAGTCTATGGTTTTTGTGGGGAGCATGGTTAGCTCAAGTGACTTAACTTCACAAGCACTCATGTATTGTATATAATTTTAGGTGGCAACACCACATTTTAATGTGTTTACACCATTTTGAGAAGTGAAACAATGAGATACTTTTTGGGTTTGGTTTTGTTGTTGAGACAAGGTTTCACTATGTGGCCCAGATTGTACCTAACTCATTATTCTCCTGTCTCTGCCTCCTTGGGATCACAGGCATTTCCCACAACATGTGGCAAGATAGTACTTTTCATATAGTAAATACATTAAAATATTAAGTATTATAGGTAATATATAATTTTGAGTGTTGGATTTATAAAAATTTCTCATTATCATGAGTCTTAAGCATGTTCATATCCTAATATATGTATATCTGTGTATATATGTGTGAGTTTGTGTGCATGTGTGTATGAGTGTGCATATATATATGTGTGTGTATCTGAGTGTGTATTTGTATTTTTGTGTGTGTGCATGTATGTATGTTTATTTGTGTGTGTCTGTGTGTTCATGTTGCTATAGATTGAGCCCAGGTTCTTATGCAAATAATCTGCCATTAAGCTATACCTGCAGCCCATTTTATTTGAGCAAGATGTCAGCTCCTATTGGATTTGAACTTAAGATCTTTCCACCTTTCTCCTGAGTATAAGATTTATACTTACTGCAACAGACATGCTTTTAAATACAGGTAAAGAATTTTTGTTTAGGATCATTCATTTTCACATTATTCATATATGAAAGCTTATAACAGAAGAATGTTTTGTATTTGAGTAAATTGTATGCAACCATTTATTATGAATTATTCAGGTTTGAAAAACCATGTTAGGTGATAAAATGGTGAGAGTAACTGATAAAGTTGAACTGCATAGAGAAAGCCCCCCCATGTAATATATATATCTATGTGTGTGTAAGTAGATTAAAAATAGCAATATATTTGTTATTAGCCATTGTACCTGATTGCTGATTTGTATGGAAATAATTTCTCTGTACTTGTTTACATTTTTTCAGTGAACAATTTTAGTAAGGACAGAAGTATTGAAAAAAAAAAAACCTCTAAAGTCATTCTTCTTTCTGTTAGCCTCTTTGGCTGGATGCCCAGAATCTGATATGTTTATCAGGAGGAAGAATGTCATCTTTTATTGTACCAATACAGATAATGATTCACTAATGAGCTGCTCAGAATAGTCATCCATATCAAAGTGCTATTCATCAGTGTCTGCTTGAAAGATTCTTTGTCCTTTGTCTTTAGAAGTGGGAAACATGTCAGGGCATCCAAGACAGGGAAATGAACAAAATGTAAAGGGTAGAAGAAGGCCAGTGTTATCAGCTTCACAATTTTTAATTTTTTATGAGACATGGTTTCTCTGTATAGCCCTGGCTGCCCTGGAACTTACATTGTAGACCAGGCTGGCTGTGAAATTAGAGATCTGTCTGCCTCTGCCTCTGCCTCCCAAAGCTGGGATTAAAATTATGTATCACCACTGCCCAGTCATATTAGGACTATCAGTATACTCCTTCAGCCTTGCTCAGACATTTCTGTCCTGGTACTGTGTGGGGAAATAGCTTATCATTGCATTGCCAGAAGTGTCTGAAGCTTGTAATTTGCTTCCTTGCAAAATCTTAACCACCTTCTCATGCCCAAAACCACCCCCAACAAAAAGGATTCCCCAGTATCTGGGAACTGAGTTATTTCTAGTAGAGATGCTTTGTTGTGTTCTGTACTTTCAGGTTGAGGACTGGCTTCTTTCATTCAAGGTCACCAGGAAAGAAGAAAAGAGTATTTCTTACACAGGAACACATGAAACTGAGATCAGTATACTTCTGTGGTATGTATACAAAACAGGTTTTAAATGGCCATGTGAAGGCTCTTTTAAAGTAAAGCATGAGTAGAAAATGGGATTAAAAGGCACCACTGCAACATTACATGTCATCTTTATGCCCATTTATGACTACTTGGTACTGAGGAAGTCATTCAGATTCATTCTGGGTACCCTTAGTGAGTCTGCACACCTTAAAAGAGCATCCACACAACAATGGATATGGGAGAAGCTTGGCAAATTCTGTGCACACAGCTCTTCCCACTCTTTACACCTTGTGTGTTTACTTGTTTATCTTCCAGTAAGTTCATTTGTCAATTATTCCTTTTAAGTATTTCTTTTAAGTCCTATTTTTTCTTTCAAGACAGATATGAGGTTCTGACAGTTGCCTTAAACTTGAAGGTATAGAGACAGAATGACTCTTTGGCTGTTATGTTTTCCCTTAGGTACTCAACAAGCATCTGAACACCCTAAAATAGATTTTATATAAAGAGTTATAGGTTTGGAAAACTACTTCTCATATGTTTTCAAAGGAAAAATCTCTGATCCTCTTGATGGAGGCAGTTACTTGGAAATTCCAACTGCCTATCCTTTAGATTTTGCTTTGGAGAGTTCTGTATTTAGTAGCAGCTGATTGGCTGTTACCAAAGTTAAGGGGGACTGCTAAGACAGCCAACTGTGAAAACTCGGCCCTTGACACTTGGGTCATCAATCTACATAGAAGAAACAAGGCTAAATTTAAGACAACAACACCCAATTTAAAACAAAACAAAACAAAAACAAAAAAGAAAAGGCAACGTGGGATAGTACAATTAAAGGTAATTATGGTAATATTAAAATAAGATCCCTGCTATAATACTGTTTTGATGTAATCACTTTTCTGTGACAATGTTATAGCTACAAATAAGTCAGATTTGGAGGAGGTAGGTTTCTTCATTGGTTAAATTCACAACGTTGTCACCGAAGAAAAACACCTGAAATATATTGTCTTAGACAGTGGGGTAAATTCAGTTGATACTGGATCTTCAGTCTACTTGCAGACTCTGAACAGGGGGAAAAAAATGAATAAAATATAAAATGAAAAGGCAATCAGGAAGGAATAAGGGTTAATTGTAATAATGAATATTAAAATAAGCTTCCTGCTATAATAGTTTAATGTAATCACTTTTCTATGACAAAGGAATAGTTACAAATTAAAAAGATGGAGAGAGGGTGGGCTCCTTCTTTGGTACAATTCAGTATTTGGTGACAGAAAAAAGGGAAATTCTAAATGTGTGGCCTGTCATAGCCACAATAATTAAACCCACAATAATTAAAGGCATGAGTAATGAGAGTTGTTTAACTGTTGTCAGTTTAACTGTTAAATAAGTTGAAAAAAGAGTGAAAGACATTGTCATTTTTCCATTATGTAGCTTCCAAGTTTGACTAGTGAAAGGGATGGTATAATTGCCTGATAAGATGAAACATCTGAATGTAACAAACTGAGATTTATATGAACAAGGAAGATGTAGAAGTAATCAAGTACTTTTCTGTACAGAAGCTGTCAGATGTAGTAAGTCAGGGTAGAGCGGCTGTGATACTAATTTTACTGAATAAAAGTGAATTTAGAGAAACAACTTACTGGAAAATTTTCAGTTGTCCAGGTTTCACTCCAGCTGATATGTAGACAGCCTCTCTAGATAGGAAATGACTGTTGAAAAAAGGGCATATCAACTTAGGGGAAATTGCTGTAATGAAGGAAAAATGAGATAAAGGTGTCACCAAGGTTAGTGATAGGTTAAATATAAATGTGTTTCTGATCTAATTAAAATTTTATTTTGTGGCATTTTCATGTGTTGACAAAATGTGTTGAGTCCAAGGACCTTGGTTCCAAGTTCATCTGCTGCTAGGTAGTAATGAACTTGAAACATGCTTTTATTAGTTATTTCTCTACTAGTGTGATAAAATGCCATTACCAAAGCAACTTAAAGAAGAGTATATTTGGGCTTCTGGTTCTAGGGGGTGTTGAATATGTAATGGCAGAGCAATGGCTTGGGTCAAGAGCAGGAAGTTGAGGGCTCAAGTCTTGTACTTCAAGCATAAAACAGAGAGATTGAATACTCAGAGCCTGCCTTGAGTGACATACTTCCTTCAACAAGGTGACACCTTC